TTTTTTTTTTTTTTTAATTTTGCAATCTTATTTTTTTAGTTCAGAGATCATTATGCGTCATAACTTCTCACAACAACACCTGGTAGCCACTATAACAACAGACAGCATTCCACTCAGCAGCATATCGCAGCCGCAGGAAGTACAACTTGGCTGGTAAAACGCTGCGTAATGTGGAAAACGCATGAAAATCAGGCAATTTCGCCCGAAAACGCGTTGTACCAATTTCTCCATCCTATTTCTTAACTAATATAGGGTACTCACGGTACAACACATCCGTCCCGTCGCCCCAAGATCAACATGCTTGTGGCGCTACACTAGTTGGCAGCCACTACGATCGGGCGAAAGATTCTTGACAGTGGTCCCGCTGTGCTTCCCATATATTAATTTTTGCGCTATGCATCGGGCTGGCTGGGGGCTGCCGGTCTACCTGTAACGGTACAGCTATATAAGCCTTAGTTGGATTCCTGGTTAATGCTCGCACTGAGATTAATGCCTAGTCTTTTGCCAGTTGGCGTGACGGCACAGGAACCGTTACACTACCGGTGCGGGGGACCCATCGACGATATTTTTCGAAAAACGTACCTGCTGCGCAAGACGCGCCTGGTCGCAGATGGTGTTATCAGTGATTTAGAAGAAAAAAAAAAAAGAAATAAAAAGAAATAAAAAAAAAAGACATAAAAAAAAGAAGAGGACAAGTTGCAAATGACAGCGTGTTGGACGGGCTTTGTGCACAGCCCTGTGAGGAACAATGTACGAGACCGATAGACCATGAAGTCACTTGGGCGCACATCTTCCCCGCACGGCAAGAGACATAACCTCCATCTTACATTCCACACCGGTTGGTACGCCTGCGTGTGGAAGGAAGGCGCGTGACACAAGACCAAGCAATCCAACGGTGACATTGCATATACAGGATAATGATAGCGTCCGCCTGGCAATAAATGAGGGGAGGTGGGTGCCCTGTGCCCTCTCCCATCTCCCCTCACCCGTCGTCCAGAATTTTCTCCAGCTTCGTTGCATCGAATGTATTATCGATGCATTTTCGCAACACAAAATCAGCCATGCTTTTGCCGTTGCTGGTCAGCCTGGCCTTGATCTGTCCGGTCCTGGGCAGCCAGATCTACCTACGAGCCGGGGACGATGATGCATACCAGCATTCGCCAGAGGTGCTCCCGTCGCGTGAGTTTTGATTTTTATCACTAGGTACCACGCAACACTATCGCCATTTTCGCCTTCTGACCAACAGGACTGGCAGCACAAATCAGTGGGCAGGATGAATGGGCCGACGCGTTTGCCAAGGCCAAGACCATGGTCGGCCAAATGACACTAGAGGAAAAGGTGAGCTTTTGCATTGTATTTTTTTGTGAGGAGGTTTATGATGGGAATTACTGATGACTGATAACGACGGGCGACCAAAAGGTCAACTTGACTGGTGGCGTTGATCTCAAATCGGGCTGCTCCGGCTCTGTCGCCGGCATCCCTAGGCTAGGCTTCCCTGGCATGTGCCTGAATGACGCCGGAAACGGTGTCCGCGCGAGCGACAATGTCAGCGGCTTCGTCAGCGGCATTGGCGTCGGCGCGAGGTAAGCGAGCATGTCCGCCCTTTATTAGCGAGTCGGCGCAAAAAAACAAACAACTGAACTGACATGGGAGTCGTAGCTGGAACAAGGAGCTCGCGCGCAAACGCGGCGTGGCTCTCGGCGGAGAAAACCGACGCAAAGGCGTCAACATCATGCTGGGACCCGTCGTCGGGCCCGCGTGGACCGTCGTCAAGGGCGGCCGCAACTGGGAAGGCTCCTCGGCGGACCCCTACCTCTCCGGAGTCCTGGCCGCCGAGACTGTCCGGGGCGTCCAGAGCCAAAACGTCATGACCAGCGTCAAGGTATGCGACCAGAGTCGGATTGGTCCGTCCCGCAAAAGGTTATTCTGACGCCGCCTAGCACTACATTGGTAATGAGCAAGAGCTGCACCGATCGCTCGAAGGCAACGTCCAAGCCATATCCTCCAACATTGGCGACAAGACCATGCACGAGCTCTATCTATGGTAATGCCCATCTGCAAGAATCCCCGGATGATGTCTCGAGCTAAAACCTGTTGCAGGCCCTTTGTCGATACGGTCAAGGCTGGTGCTGCCAATGTCATGTGCTCTTACAACCGCCTCAACCAGACGTACGGCTGCGGCAACAGCAAGACCCTCAACGGACTTCTCAAGACTGAGCTCGGCTTCCAGGTACATATCAATGCTGGACCCAAAATGCCATATCGACTGACATGTGCTCGTAGGGCTTCGTCGTGTCAGACTGGGGAGCGCAGCATGCTTTTAGCGATGCTCCTAATGGACTGGACATGGGCATGCCCAATTCTGATCCGTTCTGGGGCGCCAATCTCGTCAAGGCCGTCAAGAACGGCACGCTTGCCGAGTCGCGCGTAAACGACATGGCCATGAGGTAGGTCACGTAATCAGCAAACTCAGAATTGACTCTGATAAGGGACACAAGAATCATCGCTTCCTGGTACCAGCTGAAGCAAGACGACCCGAGCTTTCCCGCTCCAGGCATCGGCATGCCCGGCAACCTCACCGCACCGCACCACGTCATCGAGGGCCGCGATCCCGCCGACATGCCCGTCCTCCTCCAAGGCGCCATCGAGAGCCACGTGCTCGTCAAAAACGACCACAACACGCTGCCGCTCCAATCACCCAAGGTCGTCTCCCTCTTTGGCTACTCGGCCAACACGCCGCCCCAGTGGACCGCAGCGCAAGAAACTAACGGCACCTGGCGCTTTGGCCTCGCGCCTGTCCTCGGTTTTGACCCGGCCACGAGCCCCATCGGTCCCCGTGGCACTCTCTTTGGCGCCGGCGGCTCCGGCGCCATCACCCCGCAGACGCACATCTCACCACAAGACGCCTTTGTTGCGCGGGCGACCCGCGACGGCTTCACGCTGCACCAGGACCTGCAGTCTGCGCGGCCCGCCGTCGTTAACCCGGCCTCGGATGTCTGCGTCGTCTTTGGCAATGCCTGGGCGCGCGAGGGCAACGACCGGCCGCAGCTCGACGACGAGTACACAGACAGCCTTGTGCGCGCCGTTGCTGACCGTTGCGCTAGGACCGTCGTCGTGCTGCACAATGCCGGCCCGCGTCTTGTCGGCGGCTTCGTGGATCACCCCAACGTTACTGCCGTGCTGTTTGCACACCTCCCTGGGCAGCAGGCCGGCGACGCCGTCGTCGCGCTGCTCTGGGGCGATGCTAACCCCTCGGGCAAGCTGCCCTACACCGTCGCCGAAAAGGCCGCCGACTACGGGCCGCTGCTAGATCCGCAGCGCGCGGCGCCTGGCGTCTCGCCGCAGGCGTACCTGACGCAGGGCATCTATACCGACTACAAGTATTTTGAGCGGGAACGCGTGCGGCCGCGCTATGAGTTTGGCTTTGGCCTCAGCTACACGCATTTTGACTATGCCGACATTGTGCTCGCGACGCGCGGCGACAGCGGCGACAGCGGCGACAGGCCTCCCACATGGCCGCCGGCCGAGTACCCCACTGGCAAGATTGTGAGCGGCGGGCAGAGCGACCTCTGGGACGTGATCGCGACGGTCCGGTGCAGGCTGGTGAATGCAGGGAAAGTGGCGGGCGCCGAGGCTGCGCAGCTGTACGTGCGGTTTCCCGGCAGGCGCGCCAAGCAGCTGCGCGGCTTTGAGAAGCCGACGCTGCAGCCGGGCGAGGCGACCGAGGTGGTGTTTGAACTTACAAGGAGGGACTTGAGCGTGTGGAACACGGAGAGGCAAAAGTGGCAGCTGCAGAGGGGAAGATATGAGGTTTACATTGGCCGCAGCAGTACGAAGCTGCCTCTCAAAGCGCGTCTTGACATTTAACGACTGGACTTTTTCGTCTCTCATCTTGCCCTAACACATTCATGTTTGATTAGTGTTAATTTATATACCCTAATGACAATACTACGAAGCGCAATTGCTTGCTAAGAAAACCTCCGTAAAGAGACGGGGACTAAGCTGGATCATTGGTATTCCACTTGGGATGTCATGAAAATCAAGCTTTGCCGCTCCGGCCAAAATAGAAGTCCATATCAAGATCCGGCGCAACCTGGCGATAAGGTCGCCGGAAGTGGGGTCACCGGACCGGGCAAGCTAGGGCTCGGCCGATGGTCAGTTGTCTCAAAAGTTGGCAAGCGGTTTCACACTCGGTCTCAAACCGACATCAAAAGAAAGCAGAGCTGACAATTATATAGCCACATTGAGAACTGATTTGGAGGCGAGTGTATCTGCGCCCAATGCCAACCTCGTTCAACTGGGCCATCGGGCTGCTGGTCCTGCCAGTGTCAGCATCTGCGCCAGTTGAGACTCTCATCAAAACTCGACAAACCTTTTTTTTTTTTTTTCTCTTTTGGGGCGCGCAGCTCATTCTATCGTCGAATGTAGCACAGACCATCGCTGCCGCACATGGCGTCGCGACTGTAGCAGCAGGCGCTAGGGCAGCACCCCTGCGTCGCAGCAGGGCAGCAAAAGCCGCCGCGAGGGCAGTACTTGGTGTAGCCGGGAGGGCAAATGAGCTGGGTAATGGAGTGCCTTTGGGACGACGACTTGAGTTCCAAGACGTCGAGCTGGGCGTTGTCAGGGAGATTCTTGACGTCGACGGTCTCGAGGCCATTGTCCATGATGGTCACGTCGCGGCCACCAAGGGTGGAAGCCGTGACGAGGAGGAAAAGAAGGTTGAGAAGGGCAAACTTCATGTTGAATACTGCCAAGTTTGAAGTGCTTTGAAGAGCCTTGTAGAGGAGCCTTGAAGAAGAGCTCTGAAGAAGAGCTTCAAGATGCAAACTTTTTGTAGCCTGATGCTGTAAAAAAAGAGTGATGAGAGCGAAACCTTGACCCGAATTTATGTACATTTCTCTTGACATCTCATCGCAAGGTCAGCTGCTCATGGCGACTGTACAACCCAATAGACAAAGCATACTATTTGTTCAGCTTCATCTTAGCTTTTCTGCGCTAGTATGTAGGTAGAGGGTTGAGCAGTGGTGTTTGTACGAGTCTGGAGCTGCTTTCCTATCAAAAAGGATATGGAAGCTCCATCGCGTTGATACTGGATGTGGCATCTGATGTTTGATGCATATACGTCTTGAATGCATGGCTGGATGGAGCTGAAAGCGACATACTGGCAACCTCGCCTGGTCTCCTGACCTTTTTTTTTTTTCATCCCGCTGCTAGTGCAAGAGAGACCTGAATCGGGACCGTCTCTTGTATCGTGAATCTTGCCGGTCGTGAAAAAAAGACTAAAGACTGACTCGATTGAGCGTGCTGCCGGAAGACGGCGTGAGTGCGGGCACGTCGTTTTCCCTGCTCACACTACCAGCCAAAGGTCCCGGCTCGTCGCTGCCGTATGTACGTATTTTTGAGTCGACGGATTGCTCGCGGTTATGTATATTCTGGGGACGCGCTCCTGCGATCATGCTCCCCCCCCCCCCCCCAGCTGGCATTGGTGCATAGGCTTGGGGGGACACAACACACCAGCATCGCAGGGCGAGACCTATTCCGGATCCATCTGCATTGCAATATTGGAAAACGCAGCTCAGCCCCGGGGGACGGCATGCCTTGATAATGGACAAACAATCTTCCGATCTAAGCCCCTTTGTTGAAACAAAAGTTGTTCTAAGTCAGTCGCGAGGGAGTCTATTCTATCAGAAGAAAGTGCTGTTGGACAAGCTTCATTTATTACCGAGCCTGTGTGCAAAAAGAGGGTGCAGCCGAGAGAAGCGGACTGTTAGCTGTCTCAGCAGCTCGTGTCAGTTCACGTTTCACATCACCAAGTGGCCAGCAGTGCTCCGTAAAAGTCAAGGCACCACGTTTATTAGGCTCGGCCTGCACGTTTATCAGACGATTGTACCCAACGTGCCCGCATGACGCAAAGGGTTTATGGGCCGAGATCGGCCGAGATGGCATCTGCCAGGCCTCGGAGAGTCATGTAGCTGTGCTCGTCCCAAGTTCAACACCACGTACCTAAACAACTTTGGGTATCGTAGGCAATCAAGGGAATGTCGTGCGCAAGTCACCAACTGCGTGAATCAACGAATCAAAACTCCATCAGGAAATGGCGTGGACGCTAGTCAAACACGTCGGCAGCGCCATTTCCAGTCGTGCGATGCATCATGGTAACGTCTTTTAGATTACCGTACCCTCCAACATATTGGTCAGGGCTTTGATGTGGCTGCGATTCCCCGCGCCGGCAAGCAAAGAGATTTCAAGGCAATACACCGAAGCATTGTGGCAAGAAACATTTTGGATTTGCTCTTTGCTGCAGAGGCTGCATGCACTTGAATTGGATGCAGCCTTGTCTAATATGGACAAGAGTTTTGTGACCCGAAGGAGAGATGGCAGAACATGGTGACTGACCTACACATGCCCTTGGACACAATAATTCCCCTCAATGAGCAGCAGTCATTGATTTCTGCGGCGATGAGCAAATAAGATGATTTGATTGATGATGGAACAAAAGTGAGTGATGCGCAGTAGCGCGAATGTCAAGACAGCTGCGCATCGCGCTATTTGCAACACCTTTATCCTACAAGACGAAAAGAGATTTCAGTGACCTATCAATAATAAAGATGATGCCTTGCGCGATGACAATTTGTCCCCCGCACGGCGACTGAATGCGCCGTTGGCGGGAGTTGCCGTTTTTTTAACTTGCTCAAGGGGCCAGAGAACAGCTGATCGGTATCACAGCCGCCGCACAATCGTGTCAGATGCTCTGTGTGACGCCATGATCCCCATCTATCAGATGTTTCCGATAAAATGCAGACACGCAGATGATCCTGCGCTGTTTAATATTCCGAGCCTTTACGACCGGTATATCGAGTAATGACGGGTCGCGTATTTTTTTTTTTTTTTTTTTCAAAGTAAGAATGACATTTCCACGGATATATCTGGTTCGTTTTTTGCGACTGCCAACGTGTCAGGACGCCGCCCACCGCAACCGACTGCCATGATATTGGTAATAAAGGCGCCACTTCAAGTTAGATAAGGTTTGTCCAAAAGAAGGAGACCCTGCGCATCCAGTCATACATGTGATGGGCTGGCTGAGCGGTCAAATGACCTTTGATCTGAATGCACCTACCAGCATGTTGGTTGGGACTTTTAGGCCACATTGACACAAATTCACGGAAGATTTCCGAACCAAAAGCAAGCAAAAAGCTTACTCTTCCCCCCCCTTCCCCCCCCCCCCCCCCCTCCCCCCCCGTCCCCTGGCGGGCGTGATCGTTTTTTCAAATCTCCATCGCCGAGCGGAACCGCTCAAGATCCAGAAAACGTCTTGGCAAGTCACACATCGGCAGCAGCGACATCCGGCGGCCTGGTCCACAGCGTCGGTGTTGCGGCCGCAGTGGAAATGGGTGGCAGAGCGGATAGCAGACCAACTGACCAGGTTGCCAGGTTTTGGACGGACAGGACAAGTTGATCCATCTACAAGAGACAATGAACCTGGGTTTAAATAGCTACGCTGGGCTATGCCGTCTTTGGTATCCGGATTGCAGCCCCGGTGGGGCCGCGGCGGAGCAGCCAGGGGGGGAATCTCAACACGGCAAACTCCTTTAAACCAGGGGGCGAGGTGGCAGTTGGCAGTTGAAGAGAGATTGGGGAGATTACCCTACCGATGGTTGACTTGTGGCGCTGCTCATCAAGAGAGAAATCCTAACTAGTTTCTTGGGCTCTAGATTCAGGCCGGGGACGTCGTCCGAACATGAATTTTGATTCCTCGGCATAATTCTGTTGCGCAGAGTCTTCGAGCTGTAAAGGCTCACGCGCAATGGTCCCAATCACAATGGTGATGATATACAGAGTACTGTAGTGAGTATCTACGATGCCGATTTCATCAAGTGGAGTACTGTCCAACCGAGCTACCACGTACGGCTTCGCTTTTACAAACCAATGCAAACTGTCTCTTGTTGTCGTCCCGTGTGACAGATCATTCAAACAATCCAATGACTCGCTCTGCAAGACTGGGCATCCCAGCACCCCTCGTATGCCAGCCCCGCAGACGTTGTCGTCGGCCACCTTTGCGGGGAGACTCCAGCCCCAGCTCAGCTTGGCAGCAAGATATCTTGGTCCGGGCGCAAAGTTGTTGGCGAATCCGGCAACTGAGCTGCCCGCAAGGCAGCTAGCTCCCATGTCCCTGCCATGGTACTCCTCTTAAAAAATGCCGTTGTTCACGAGCCGAATGGCGGCCGTTGTCATGTCGTAGATGGTGCCGGGCGGCAAATGCTATGACCACAAGTCTGGCCATGGGGGGTCTCGCTGCCGTGACCCGGGGACAGGCCGATAACTTGATGTGGCGGGGAGGTGCCATTGGCATGAGCGGCTAGTCACGTTACTGTATGAATAAAATACAGTTTAACCGTTTCTTCGGCTGTCGGTCTCTAGTGTCTAGCTATGAGGTCCATCAAGCTGTATGGAGTATCGTATGAGGGTTTCAACTGCCTTGATCCGCGGAGATGGCATACCACCCACCCAATGGACCTACCTACAAGTGAGATTGCGAGTGACTGAAAAAGCCTGGTGTTTCAGTGTTTCTGAAGTGAGCTTCGCTGGGTGGTATTTGAAGGGAGTGCCCCGCAAAGTTCGTATAACTGCAAGATATTAAGCACTATACACCGTACACTTACTCGTATTTATCATGACTGTCGGGTCTCCTACAATACATGAGTGTCGATTTGGTCTGAAGACGCAACAAGGGACCGAGCTACGCAGCGATTCATTGCCTGATAGCTCGATCAACAGGCTTTTGACAGTCGATGCCAAGCTCATTCAGCCCGAGCGTTTAGCGCAAGGCACATCAAATTGACAAGTTGACAACCAAGTAGTACCACTAGCTTGCACTAGTTTACTAGTCACCAACGTACTTGCCTTTGGCCAAGAAGCTCAAAGAATTATTGCCGTGTAGGTATCCATTCATGCTGATCTTTGTAGCATCTTGATTCGCTCCGCAAGAGGTGATGGATGTATATTCACACGAAGCATATAAGCGAGATGAGATTTCTCGCGGGTGTCAAACCACTACCGGTTGAGGCCAATTGGCCAGCAGCCTTTCGGGTTATATATGCCGGGTTCAAATGCACCTGCATATGCGCAACGACTAGCTTTATATGCGGCAGTTGATTTTTCGGAGCTGGTGCGATAACGTTATGCACTCGGGAGTGCCTATTTACGCTTCAGACGATACTGATTCACTATCTACCATTAACTTTCGACGGCAGTGTTTTTTTCCTGTTTTAGAAAAAATTCTATTGAATTGTTACGCTGATGGTTTCAAGGCGCAACGCCGCTTCCAACACTGGTTTTAGCAGCAATCCATCATCATCTCCGCTGAACCAAGCTTTCTCATGGCTGGCACAGGGACCTGCGCCCCGGTAGATCGACACGCAAGGTTAACTAGAATCAACGGTGCAGAGTAATTAGGGCTACCAGGTGCCCATGGGCCATGGGCAATCTCCTCTAGTCTGAAGCCAGGCGGACCGCAACCGCCATTTCTGCGGACCCAAAAAAATCAAAACAAAAAAAAAGGCAAGGATCGCGGAACAAGATGGCTTGCTTTTTCACTGGTATTAATTATTATTTTGCACATGAAAATGATGACAAAAAAGTCCCGCAAGGTCCGGAACCCACGCCACCAGTCGCTGAGCAGGTTCGTAGTCGCAGCTTTTCCGCTTGACGGCATGAACAAGGTCAAAGCTCACCACGATGAGGGAATAAGGATTTCCGAGAGATATTGAGAAAAAAAAAAAAAAAAAAAAAGAAACGTATCACATCTGACGGCTGCGGCGGGGAGAGGCAAACGGTTGTTTCCGCTTAGGTTTATATGGCCTGACATGGACAGTTGTTTCCTCTTGAGTACTCCGTAATAGTTATGGGCTCCCCCTTCGATGCCCCCATAGCGAGCCGAGTCCTAGCGCCCGTCCCCATCCATATTAATTAATTTGTTTTTTTTTTTCCTTTTCTTTATTCTTTTTTTTTTTTCATGTTTTTCTTCTGTTGAAGAAGTTAAACTTGCTTCTTGCGCGAACCTCTTTGTTTTTTGACTCGTCTGTGCCCAGTCGAAGCGCAGAGTTTGCGGTAACAGTTATTGTTGAAGCGTCCCAAAGCACCCAAAGCAACGGGTCTGACCGTTGATAGAGAAAAGAACCCGGCGCATAGTTGGTACTGCCCAGCCGCTTATTTAGTCGCAACAAGCAACCCGTTGTGAGAAGGAGGCGCGAAAAGGTTATTGATCGACGCCCGCCAGCAACCCCCTCTTTACATTGCTGGGTATGTCCCTGTCGCCCAGGGTGTAAAATGTCTGTGCCAATCTCGTAGATTCCAAAAAAGAGTGAGAAACACACAGAGAGAGAGAGAGAATCCTTGTCCATGACTTGCAGGCAACAAGGTCACAGACAAGTTGAACAAAGTTGTCCCGCTAGCAAGCTCAGCTCCCCTGCTAGTTTCCCTACAAACCGAGCTAGACCGCTCCATCTGCCTGTCTGAGACAATGTGCTCGGAATTGTCAAGAGACGGATCCCGTTCAATAGCTTTTGAATCTGTCAATCAGTGCCCAACAGAGAGTGCATACACTCTCTGAGAGAAAGATCTCTCATGCATGCTGCCAGGGGCAAAGGCTCCAGCATGCAACGTGACAAGATGAGCCCGTATGCATTTGCATCACCAACAAGGCAAAAAAACTTAAATATATGGGATCGGCAAGCAAAGAGCCAGCGGATTGGTTCATTTAAACCGGGGAGGGAAGGGGGGGCAAAACTGCCGGCCGTAGACCGACCCCCCCCCCCCTCCCCCGGCATCATGATCCGCCCGCCACAGACATTTGCGAGAAAACGAAGCTCCGGGCGGGCGCCGCCAACAACACAGACCTCTTTTTATTAGTTACGGAGGCGTGTCCAGTATCCGTAAAAAAGGCGACGCATCACTTTTTTAGCCTTGGATCAAAATCCTACATAGATGAGAGTTACCCCCCCACAGCCTTATCTAGCTAGCCTTTCCGATCCGCATCGACCGAAAGCTCATCTTACAACATCTTGACCTCGAAAAAAGCCGCCTACTTTTGAAATAATGTTGGTAGGCATATTAATAACAGAGAGCCTCGACACTTGACTGCTGCAAGTCGCTTGGCCACGTTAAACCTACCTTCCCGAGGTTCACACCGGCAACCCCCCTCCGCTCATATCGGGACCTGCGCCGGCGCGCCCGCCCTGCCCGCCTCTCCCTTACTCTCTCGCGCCGCGGGCGAACAACAAAAAAAGATTCAGCAGCCATGGCGTTGACGCCGTTTCAGATTGAGGCCTGGGTCGAATTCGCCATTGGCATTACTATTTTATTCTCGCGCATCGCGTACCGGACCAAGTTGGTGGGACGAAATTGGGCGGGCGACGACTACTTTGCCGTCGCGGCCGTCTTGTTTCTGGCGGGGGAGACGGCAATGCTGCACGTTATAGGTGAGCAAATCTCTATATACTAGAGGAAAAAAAAAGAAGAGGGGGACTTGGCGAGAGAGACAGAGCAAGAGACTGACCAAAGCCCTCGCGTCGGCGCGCACATCATTAGGACTATGGGGATCGATTGTGGGCATGACAGAGGAAAAGGCCCTTCAGCTCAGCGAGCAGGAAAAGGAAATCATTGTCAAGGGTGCCAAGGCCGACATTGCGGGCTGGTGCCTGTACATTACCCTCATTTGGTGCTTGAAAGCGTGCATGCTCTTCTTCTACCGTCGACTGACGTGAGTCTCCTTTTTTTTCTTTTTTGCGCCGCTGCCCCCCTTTGCGAGAACGAGCTTGTTTCTTTTCTTTTCTTTTCTTTCCTCCTAACCACTTCAATATTAGTCTCGACACATTTCAGAAGCGGCTGGTCCTGGTGGCCGGCGTGGCGTGGATCTGCTCATACGTGGCCACGATTGGCGTCGTACTGTTTCGTTGCCTTCCCTTTCATCGCAACTGGCAGGTCTACCCTTATCCGGGCGACGAGTGCGGTACGCCCAACCAAATATTCCTGACCCTCGTCATCACCAACGTATCGACCGATCTCCTCATCCTCTACATTCCGCTGCCCCTCCTCTGGGTCGTCAAGATTCCCCTCGGAAAGTAAGCCACGCATATCCTCCTCCTCACCCCCTCCCCCCCCCCTCCTCGCCCCCTCAACCCCCCCTTTCCTCTAACAAATTCGTCCCAGGAAAATCATCTACGGCCTGTGGCTCACCACCGGCATCTTCGTCGTCGTCGCCAGCCTCCTCCGCTGCATCCTCTCCATCCGCTACGCCAACGAAGTCGACGTCTCCACCATCTGGGCCATTCGCGAGACCTTTGTCGGCATCATTTGCGTCAACGCGCCCATCCTCGGGCCCTGGCTCGTGAAGAGGTGCAGCCTCTGGGCGCACAGCATTTCTTCTTCCTCGAGACGCGGCTCCAAGAATGGCGGCGGCGGCGGTGACCACAACGGCGGTGGAGGACTGCCGACAATCATTACGATAGGCCAACGCAGCATGCGCCTCGGTCGCCTTAAAAAGGACGGCAAGGTGGACGGTCGAAACGGCGCGATGACGGGCTGGACGACGATTAATGATAGCGACGAGTGCGTGCTGGAGACGCGCGCTGAGAGGGAGGATAAAGACAGAGGGGTCAAGGGTGGCAAGAGTGCCAACAACACGGTGGCTGTTGCGTCGATGGCGTCGTCGTCGACGACGGCCGTCAACGACATGGTATGAGATGGTGACAAGACATCTCGACCACCCTTTCGTCTTCTCCAACACACATTCATCTTTCTCTAAATGATCTTTTTTTCTTGGAAACCCTCTTCTTTTTGCCGACTCTTGTTCATTTCGCTCTATATCCCTTCTTCTTTCGGCACTCTTCTCCTTCTTCGAGTCTCTTCTCTTTCCGGCTCTTGCTTTATCTGCTCTATATCCCCTTTCAGTTTTCTTGGGAGGCACATTTTCTGTCTTTTTTTTTTTTCTCGCGTTTGATCAGCGTTTATTTTGGGAATCTCAGCAGCTTGCGCTTGGGACATTTACAGCACCACACAAATAACGAAAAATGCATCGCACTGCAGCCAATGCTACCGGCGAATATTTACCGGGGTCACTGTACCATACTGCCGTTCAAAATATTTCCTTCGTGGGTTTACACGAGTTATTTTGATTGTTTAGGTCGATATACTACCAATGTCACACACATGACAGACACATCATCAGTTCCGCACACCAAAAATGTAATTGTGAAGTTTTAAAAAGTCTATCGTTTATTCGTGTCGTCATCAAGGATATTTACAACACCGAGTCATGATGCTCATGGGGTGAGGCGAACCTTTTAGGAGGCGGCAGGCGACCCAGAATCTTTTCCATGGCCAGGCCCAGAGCCAGCAAACGGGCGTCGCTGCCGAGAGGCCCGTCGATTTCGATGCCCACGGGCAGGCCCTTGCTCGTGAGGCCGGCTGGGATGCTCAGCCCTGGGATGCCGGCGTCGCTACCGGGCGAGGTGAAGCTGATGTAGGTGGCAAATGTGTCCTGTGGCGGCCCGCCGTTGATGGAGACGTTGCCCGAGCCGTGCCAGTGGTCGATGGGTGTAGCGGGCAGCGGCGTCGTGGGAAAGAGAATGGCAGACACGTTGGCCCTGATAAAGTAGTCGGCGTACATGCGTTGCAGCGCTGGACGATGCACGGTGACGGCTTCATTGTATTGGCCACCAAGCACGTCGTCCGTGACCATCGTGAACAACTTCCGGACATCTGGGCTGGCAACACGTCGGGCAATGTCGTCAAATGTGACGTCTTTGATGCCCGACGCTCTCAAATATGCAGGAATGTCCGTTCGTGGTTCGTGCAGGGCGAGGGGGAGAGAGATTTTGTTATCGAGAGCAATGAGGTCGGGCATGTCAGCATCCACCATGACGGCACCGGCTTGCTCGAGCAGCTGGCGCGCTTTCAAGACGACTTTTTCCAGATTCCTGTCGAGCCCACTCCATAATACAGGTGGCACGCCAAATCGGACACCAGCGATATCAGCGGCCTCGGGACGAGCTTCGCCTGCAATGATGGAATCGAGAAGAGTCACGTCGGCGACAGTCCGACCCATTGTGCCGACCGTGTCGCGCGTGTGGCTGATGGGCACGACGGCATGGTCGTCTTGATAGCGTTTCTCGGAGCCACCGTCGCCGAGCGAGGGGCGAAAGCCGACAATGCCGGTGAGGGCGGCCGGAATGCGGGCAGAGCCGCCCGTGTCCGTGCCCAGCCCACAAGGGACCACATGGGACGAAATGGCCGCGGCGGTGCCGCCAGACGAGCCGCCGGGAATCATGTTGACCGCATACGGATTGTGCACAGGCAGAGCAAAAGAAGCAAAATTTGTGCTGGTGACGCCAAAGGCGAGCTCATGCATATTGGCCTTGCCAATGACAATGGCGCCGGCGGTCATGAGCTTGCGCAGGCTTGGCGCGGTATTGTTGGGCTTGGAATGGCGCAGCGCCGGGGTTCCAGCCGTCGTGGGTACATTTTCCAGATTGATATTGTCTTTGGCGACAATGGCCAGGCCGGCAAGAGGCGGCAGCTCGGCGCCGCGGGCAATGGCTGCATCAACCTCGTCGGCGGCCTCGAGAGCCTCGTCTCGGAGCAGCGTCACGATGGCATTGAGCGAGGCACCGTGCTTGGCCTGCTCGAGAACAGTGGTAATATAGCGACGGGCAGTGACACGCCCCTCGCGTATGGCCGTCACTGTCTCATCTGCGGACCAGTTTAGAATAGTGCGAGCGAGATAGCCGCCTCCGTGTACTTGATCAGTTGGCGCCATGGTTATCGCGTCTTGTTGGACCAAGTTTTTACGAGTCGATTTTCAAACCGCGCATCTACGACTTTATACAAAGAATAAGAGACGACCAGAAGAGGGGAAAGCACACGACGGCGAGGTTCCGCATAGCCCCAAATTATTGCAACACCTCGTCGCTGCGCTGGCACAGTGGCATTCCATGAGGGACCCTCCCGGCCGCATCTCTTAGCTCACAGCTGCTGGTCGTTCATGCCGATTCTTCTGCAACGACCTGCAGCAAGGGAGACTAGCCCCAGAGGCCGACAGGGTCTGACGCAGCCCACCGTCGCATGAGGAATCTGGTTGGCTAGTTGGTGAGCCCGCATGGCAAGTTTCGGCGGCGGTGCGCGAGTGGTGCGGAGAGATTGCAAATGATGGCTGGACATGGCTAAAGCCTCGGGCAGCTGCCTTGGGCTCCACGAATGAGGGGGTATAATGGGCATGATTTGAATTAGTTCAAGTCGTACTCAAAAGATGAATCATCCGGGGTTGCACGACAGATAGTGCCGGTGAGATTTGTGACGAGATATTGATCTCGGCGAGAGACATAATGGTTGCACAATGTAAAACCGATCATGGTGGTGTAAGATTTAGGTTTCCGTTTGTACGTCGCACCAAGACGGCCCAAACTGTTGGGTGCGGTGGCCCTGCCCGTGTGGGCCTCGTTAGATTCCATAATACATCATGAGGTAAAATCAACCCCTCTTCCATCACAAGCCTCTCCGATAACAAGCCTCTCCCACCATTGTGGTAGCAATCATCTTCTTTCTAATCCGAGCGATCCAGCGAATTCTCAAGTTACACATCAAAGGTCAATTCCATCGAGACACACACAAGGGCACATCAAGGCACACACCAAGATCATCACGGAGGCATCTAGGCCAACCCACCATCAACACGAAGCATCAGACAGACACAGAGGTTACAAAGCACCAGACAAAAGAAGCCACAGAACACTAAAATCAGCCACAGGGTATCAAAGGATTATTGGGTATCAGCCAAGGCATAAAGGCTGCAGCAAGCATAGATTAATAAGAAGTCTTTGTTAAGGCCACCAAGTACCGGAGACACCAGATGACAGCAGCAAGATTCGCATCCTCGAATGCAAAAACAAGATACAAAACACAATAATCACGGTGCATCTATAAACAGAGAGCTTCGGTAACAAGTACATTGCTTTTCAAGTGCGATGTATTCTTAAACGCGCTTCTGACTGTGTAGGCCACACCATTATCCCGCCATCCATCACAGGTAGCACACCAACACGGCCAGATGCTTGGCCCCACCCAAACTTTCGCCGCCTCGAAAATATCTTTCAAAAAGACGCAGCGGATCGGCACACAAATATTCCCTCATTGACGCGACACCGCCATTCATTTCGGGCATTCGCGTCCGACACTTTGTAGTCCATCACCTTGCAGCATGGGGAAACATCCAGTCATTGGCCTCCTCGGCGGCGGTCAGCTCGGCCGCATGCTCCAGGAAGCCGCCTCGCCTCTCAACATCGAGCTGGCCATTCTCGACGCCGCCGGCTCGCCCGCCAAGCAAATATGCGAAAATACCAAGCACGTGTCGGGCTCCTTCAACGATCCGGCCAAGATCCGCGAGCTCGCTGCGCGCGTTGACGTGCTCACCGTCGAGATTGAGCACGTCGACGCCGACGTGCTCGAGGAGATTGCCACCAAGGGCGTCTCGACGGGCGCTGGCCCCCTGAAAAAGGTGCCCTGCCATCCATCGTGGGAGACGATTCGCCTGATTCAGGACAAGTACCTGCAAAAAGAACACTTTTTGCGCGGGGGTATTCCCGTCGCGCCGCAGACGGCCGTCGGCACGCTCACGGTCGAGGCGCTGCAGGCCGTCGGGGACGAGCATGGCTTCCCGTTTATGCTCAAGGCGCGCAAGGGCTCGTACGACGGCCGAGGCAACTTTCAGGTGCGCGGGCCACACGACTTTGACGAGGCCATCCGCTCCATGGGCAAGCTGTCACTATACGCGGAAAGGTTCCAGCCATTCGCCAAGGAGCTGTCCGTCATGGTGGTGAGAACCGAAGACGATGACGGCAAACTACGAGACGTATACCCATACCCCGCCGTCGAGACGGTACATGAGGACAGCATCTGCACAAAGGTCTATCTGCCGCCACGCGGGGTGCCGGCCGAGGCGTGCGAGGAGGCGCGCAAGGTCGCGAGCAATGTCATTCGCACGCTCAAGGGCCGTGGTGTTTACGCAGTGGAAATGTTCTTGCTCAAAGACGGCGGTATCGTGGTCAATGAAGTCGCCCCCAGACCGCACAACTCGGGCCACCTCTTCACCGAGGCCATCCCCTACATGTCGCAGTTTAAGGCGCAGCTATGCGCTATTCTCGACATTTTCCCCAGCGACGGCAAGGTGACGCTACAGCCGCGCGTTAAGTCGGCCATTATGCTCAACATTCTAGGTGGCGCAACCGAAGATTCACACGAGAAGCTAGTAGAAACGGCCAGCCGTAGCTACGATAATGATATGGACGTCTACATCCACCTGTATGGTAAAGCATCGAAGCCCGGCCGCAAAATTGGCCACATTACCGTGACGTCGCCGTCAAGCCAGATCACCAGCCTGGAGCAGCTGGCTAGCTCTCTGACCCAGGAGGTGGACAGCATCCGCGAGGGCCGCATCGCGAGCGCGGCCGTGCAGCTGCGCCCCTCGGACGCCGCGCCTGCTCCCGCCAAGCCCATGTCGTCGCGCAACCGCAGCAAGCCCCTCGTAGTCGTCACGATGGGGTCAGACTCGGACCTCCCCGTGCTCAAGGGCGCGTTCGAGGTGCTAGAGAAGTTTGGGGTGCCGTACGACTACACCATCACGTCGGCGCACCGGACGCCGCAGCGCATGGTCGAGCTAGGCCGGGCGGCGGCGTCGCGCGGCGTGCGGGTGCTGATTGCGGCGGCCGGCGGCGCCGCGCACCTCCCCGGCATGCTGGCGTCGGAGACGGTGCTCCCGGTCATTGGCGTGCCGGTCCGGGCGACGCACCTCGACGGGCAGGACTCGCTGCTCAGCATCGTGCAGATGCCCCGCGGCTGTCCCGTGGCGACGGTGGGCATTAATAATTCGACCAACGCGGGCCTGCTGGCCGTCAAGATTCTCGGCAGCGGCGGCGGCGGTGGCGACGCCGGCTATAGTGCGGCAATGGAAAAGTACATGAAGAACATGAGCGACGAGGTGGAGGCCAAGGCGGGCAAGCTGGAGGAGTTGGGCTGGGAAGCGTATCTGGAGAAATGAGACGATGCTTATCAGAAAGTGGGACGATGTATATAAGATAAATGGCTAATGATTGATAAAGCGGTTCACCGTATTCAGGCATCGTTTTTTAAAGTGATGAATGTTATTCTTGGATGCAATTTGATACGGCATATAAATGGTCAACATGGCTTTTGTCAGCTGCCGAGGCATTGCTGCGCAGTTGCTTTTATTGCAATAATTGATTGCGATGCCCGCTATGAAAGTGCCGTCTCGTATTATCATTCGAGGTATCATCTGGAATCCCGCAGCGTTGGGCTCTTTTCTTTTCTCGTTTCACTCAAGCATCACCTTTCACAAAATAAAGCCGTCGGTTTCTAGTTCTATTTGTACTTTCCGTGTACTTGCATCTTGAAGATCCACGAGGGCCATCCATCTTGCCGAGGTCCCTTATTCGGACGTCACTGCCTTATTACACGGTCCCTGAATAATAGCTTGTAATCGCGCACATGGCCATGAAAATGCTACCGCCACGAGTGGATTGGACGGGCAGCTCAGCACGCTTAGTGGCAAACGAACACGAATCAAGTTTTACAGTTCGCGATAAGCTACAGAAAATCGACAGGGACAGCCGAATAATGATCCCGGTCGCCGATGGGCTCTGGGGGCAAGAGTGCGGCACGCGGGTGACAAAAAACATCGCCGCCCTGCCTGGCTAAGATTCGCTCTTATCCGCTAAAGCCGTCTAAAATAAATATTTTTGAAATTCTTAGAATTACGAATAGTATTAGAGGACTGATTCCTCTTTTTCTTTTTAATTGTCTTATTCTATACGTGGTGTACTTTGTGGAATAGTCAGAAGTCCATCGGCGATGTTTTTTGTCACCCGCGGGTGCGGAAGACGCTCGTCGGGCGTACTCTGGAGCCATTGTGTGGGCACTCTTGTCGCCTGCAAGGGGCGGTCCCCTAACTATTTATCCGTATTCCTTCGTGGCGAGAAGCGAAAGCGAAATGTCAGCAATGTGGCGAGGCAGAAGCGGTGCTTATGCAAGCCATGCTGAATAACTGTCAAGATGCGGAGAGCAAAAAGAAGTTTGCAACGGCGTTTGGGAGGGTAGAGGAAAGGGAGCGGGGAAACAAGCGAGACAACGGTTGGGTGAATTTTGCGATGCATTGAGCGATTCAGTTGCATGCATTCGCGATGGATAAAAAATCAAGAATACCATAGTTTTTGTGTGTGTGTGTGTGTGTGCCGTTGTTTGGAGAGCCGCATTCGGAGGCCGGCGAAGCCGTCTGTGGAGAAGCGTAAATTAATACTCGAAACGAGTGGCTGCGTTTGGCTAGTTACTAGTGGCCACTGGCTGGGTGCAATGTTGGGGTTGCTGCGACGCTGAGTAATATTCCTCAACACTTGCAAGTGGCGGATGAACAGTAAAAGGCCACTTAGCAGTTCAAAGCAGCGATCTGAAGTCTGTTGAACATGTTCGCAAGGCTGATTTTTGCTGCGTTATTATGCTACCTAGAGCGTGCTTATTCGCCCTGCCAGAAAACCTGGGCTTGTTGTGGGCGAGTCGTAAGTGGGCGGGGCTGGCCAATCAGCGAACGGCAGAGAAAAAGGGTAAATACGAAAGAAGAGTGCGGCCAAAAAGTTCGTGGAGCGGGGGAGGGGGCAGCTAATGCACCCAAACAGCGGGAGGAATAAAAAAAGTTGTTTTGTTCCGCAACGAGATGGGAGGTGGTTGGGGTTCACCATGTGATGAATAAAAAAGGTTCATCTAGGTAGGGACTAAATAGAAACGTATTGGTGATTACGATATGACAATGCAGGCGCGGGATGACTCGATGGAAGCCTCGGAGCCCCTGCCAAGGCGCAGCAGGCTGTTTTTTCCTTTTCCTTCTGGAAGCCTGTGGCCTGACGGACGACACGGACCCTCGCAGGGCAGCTGGCAGAGGGTGTGGCAGACTTCCGGTTGACAGCTGGGCACAAGGCGAAAAGACGAAGAGAATGGTTGCAAGTTCGATTTCTCGAAAGAAGTGGAGTCACCCGCGTTCGGCGTGTTTGCGGCGTCGAGTCTCGGAGTAGTGGGCGCACCCTAACTATTACAAACGGATCGCGTGGAAAAAGAAGTAGAAGTGGCTTGCAGTAGCGGCTGCAGTGGCCTCGGTGGCTGACACTTGGGCACACTTCCCGTTGCTGCAAGCCTGTACCAGGAACCTCGTTTCGGTACTAGATTCTGGGGGGGCGGACAAGACTATCCTACAACTATCTGTACTTGCCGTAGTACCTAGTACAAGAACCTTACTCATTCCGCGGTCCGAATTCCGATCCTCAATCGTGGCTTAAAATTCTTCTTGTTCTTGAAGCGCTTATCCCCGAACACGCCCGCCCGCTTCTCTTTCTGCAAACAATCTTGTGTGTAAAACAACAGAAAAGTCTCGCCACTCGAATCAAGACATGCGCCGATGACGGAACTCGACAACGAATGACAAACCCCAGACAACGACCGCTCCCGAATGGATTCAATCAAAAGGCCTAGGCGCGCCTCCTCTTGGATGGGGTCTGGCTCCACGCATCCACGACTTTTTCTTGAGTCTTATACCCACTGCTAACAAAGCTTGGTGGATCGAGAGATGCCTAGGAAATGCAAACCTATTGCGGTGCCCGCGGGCCTATTATTATTTCTTTTCAGTAGCCTAATCAACATTAAACCCCGAGCTTGACTTCTTTTTAAATTTATTACAGCTGCCGTTCATATCTGTGTTTGGTCTAGTTGGACGTGCTAGTTAGTTGATTGTCTGTTTCTCGCAGTTCTCCTCCTCCTTCAACGGTTAACCTCCATCGTGTACCTTGTACCGTCCCCGTCATCCTTCATCTCTTCAATAAAACTCTCTTTGCTCCTCCCCCACATCCTAGGTACCGGTGCCTGTACTTCCTCTCGTCTTGACACCTAAAATTTTCTCCTCCACCGCGCCACGCACCACATCGTCCTCTTCTCTCAACAAGATCCTCTCCCCCCCGGCGCGACGAGCCATTGATCACACGACCCTTTTCTCCTCTCTCCCGCCAATTCTTCGCTTGGTGTAGAAGGGCTTTATTTTGCGGGGAACTAGTCATTGCTCGACATCTCCTATCCTTCCAGGCACCACTCACATTCGTCCCTCGCAGATCCCTGATCCTCGTCGTCGCAACGCCTCCTCGACTTGTTCGCGTCAGCATAATCCAGCTAGTCCGCTAGCTGCATTGCACACAGCCTTGCCTCTTTGTTTCCATAAAGAGTCTCGACTACCCCAGCTTTTCTCTCCCGCTTTGATATCTTTCTTCCCCCCTCCCTCTCCGTTCCTGATCCCCCCCGTGCCTTGTCTCGGTCCATCTGCATCCTCTCACCCCGCCACCATGGATTCTCACGGACAAGACATTGCCCCAGCCTCTGCGCAAGGCCCGGCTGGCGAGCACAAGCTTTCTAAGTGCGACGTCGAGGCTGCTCCCCCTTCCGGTCCCACTAGTATGGACGACGCGTCCAGCGAGGCTGCTCTGATTGACTTCAAGACACTGTCCTGGTGGTAAGCATCTCTCCTCCATTGTCCTTGTCCAGCTTTGCACGGATGCTAACAATCTCTCCAGGAAAGGTGGCATTGTCCTCATCGCCGAAACCGTCTCTCTCGGAATCCTCTCTCTCCCTTCCGTCATCGCCACCCTTGGCCTCGCTCCCGGCATCGTACTCATTCTGGTTATGAGCTTCCTTTCCACATATTCGGGTCTCATGCTCGGCGAGTTTCAAAAAGAGTACCCCTTTGTCGAAAACTTTGGCGATGCCGTCGAGGTCATTGGTCGAACCATGGGCTCTTTCGGCCTCTTTGGTTTTAACATCACCTTTGCCCGCATCTTCCAAGAGGTGTTTGGCTGGGCCCAGGTCATCTTTCAAGTCTTTGTCATGGGCGCGCATCTCCTCACTTGGACCATCTGCCTCAATGCCCTCTCCGGACACTCTGCCTGCACCATAGTTTGGGCCGTAGTCGGTCTCGCCGTCTTTTGGGTCCTCAACCTCCCCCGCACCCTCCGACACACCAGCTGGATGTCCATGGCTTCGTGTATATCAATCATTGTCGCCACGCTCATGACAGTCGGCGACGTCGCCGCCAGCAAGCCTATCGGCGGTTCCATTGTCGAAGTGAGCAGGGAGCTTGGCTTCACAACGGCTTTCCTGGCTGTTACTAACATCGCTGTCGCCTTTTCGAGCCACTCTTGCTTCTTTGGCGTTATTGGCGAGTTTCAGAAGCCTGAGGATTGGCCCAAGGCCCTTGCCCTTCTCCAGATTGTCGACACCTCCCTGTACCTCGTTGCTGCTGTCGTCATTTACTACTACGTTGGCCCTACCGTCCCCTCTCCCGCTCTTTCGGCCGCTGGCTCTGAAACTATGCGCAAGGCCATTTGGGGTGTCGCTATTCCCACCATTGTCATCGCGGGCGTTATTTACGGACACGTGGCGGGCAAGTACATCTTCAACCGCATGTTTAAGAACAGCAAGCATCTTGTCCGTCGCACTTTTGTGTCGGTTGTCGGCTGGTCCGGTATGACGCTTGCCATGTGGGCTATTGCTCTCATCATTGCCGAGTCCATTCCCGTCTTCAACTCGCTGCTCGGTATTCTTTCGGCGCTTTTCGTTTCGTGGTTCTCGTATGGTCTCCCCGGTATCTTTTGGCTTTGGATGCGCAAGGGCTCTTGGTTCAGCACGCGTGCCCGCACTTGTTCCTTTTTCGCCAATGTCCTCCTCGTCATCACCGGCACCATGCTCTGCGTCCTCGGTCTTTGGGCTTCCGTTGAGGCCATTGCCAAGGAAACCGGCACCAAACCTTGGTCTTGCGAAGACAATGCGCCTCAAAAATTCGAGCAGACGTCTAGAGAGGCTGTGAAAAGGCTTGTAGGGAGGTCATGAAGGGGTTTTGTTGAGCAAGGTTTTGTAAAACTTGGTTGTTTGTTTTTTTTCCCTCGAGTGTTGTTTTCTGTTCATTTCCTTTTCTGCCCTTTTTTGCATGAGACATGAAAGGGTACAATGTGCACTTGTCAGGATATGACAAGGTGTTGTACAATGTACACTTGCAACCACGACATGGTCGAGAGTTTGGAATTGGCGCCTTTTGATATCAAAACAGCGATACCTGCATACTTATTAATAACTATGGCTAAATGCCCATGATTACCAAATTTTCTCCATATTTTCTGCCAAGACGCCCTATCTTGGGCCCTTGCGCCTTGCATGTCAATCATGATTGACTATGGAGTACTATCTACACACTAAACGCGATAAGCCCGGCTATCAACGGCAGACTCTCGCCGATAAGCCGTGGTCCTTGGAGTGTATATTTTACTGATGATGTATTTTTTCTGCGACACTGTCCGTATCAGTACATAGGATGGTCGTTTATCTACTTTTAGTGCCGACACATGTTTTGCTCCCAGTGCTCATCCATGGGTAAAAACCCGCCCTGGTGCTGCTCGACCTCGTCCTTTTTGTCCTCCTCGTCCTCGTCCTCGTCCTTGACCTCTTGCCGTCCACCCATCGCCGTCACATGTCTCCGGCACAAAAACGCCAGTATGCGCTCATCCTTGGACCTCCCCGACACCAAGTGCTGCGCGCCGTACAGCGACCGGACAATATCGCCGTCGACAATGTCGACCAGCCGGCCCAGCCCGCCCCCGCGGCGGCGACGACGCTCGCGACGGATGCGCTCGCACGAGGCAATGGCAAAGCCAAAGGCGAGCACGAGTAAGAGAATAGCAAAGGCGTGGTTAGACATGTAAATGGGTACCTGCTTCAGCGGTGACGGCCGGTCATGATCATCATCATCATCATTCTCGGTTCGCGGCGGCCACGTCTCGGCCCGCGACGGCGGCGGCGGATCTTGTGTCGTTGCAGATGGGGGGGTATGGGCCAGCCATCCCATCTTGTACAGGTCGTAGCGGCGGCGCTGCGCGGGGCTGCTGAGGAGTTGATGCGCGGCGACGACGAGATGATAGCGGTGCAGCCGGGTCTGCGGCGACATGGTGCCGTCCTGGATGCTGCTGCTGCTGCTGCGGTGCATGTCTGGGTGGTATAGCTTGACGAGCCGGACAAAGTTGGTCTTTTCGTAGGGACGGCCCGCGTCGACGTGGAGGACCTGATAGGGCGTGGGCTTGGCGTCGGCCGGCCAGACGAGACGAGGCGGTTGTTGTTCTGGGTCGGCGTCGCTGCTCGAGCTCGAGTAGCTGCGGCGACGGCGGTGGCCGTTGCCTCGTTGGTGGGAGACGATGACCCGGTGGGACTGACGGGCGACTTGGGCAAAGTGCATCATCACAAATTTACGATACGTGCAGATTTAAAGAGAGGTGCAGAGAGAGAGAGAGAGGAAGGGGGGTTTCATGCTGCTATTTGAATGAGCAATCTCTGGACATGGCGGTATATATATAAGTTGCCGTTTCCTGGTGAGAAGAGAACCTGTGTAGAGAGAGCCCCGTGTGATGCAACATGTTCCATCCGTTGTAACTCGCTCAACGCATTGTTTCATTCTGCCATGTGTATCTCTGCATGGTGAATGGTGAAATGGCAAACACTGAAATGTTTCTTTGTGTGCTTTTGCTGGGCAATACTTGCGCGTTTCGCCCATCTATCCCACGCATACTTGCTCACATCTCCACGTGAGCGCAGGCGGGCGGCTGGCTATCTGCGGGGGGTGGAGGGGTAACAATGGACGCCCAGACCGTCAAATCTGAGATGCTGAGCGTTGGGCACCTAGCATCTGCCGTGAGGTTTTTTTTTTGGGCAGGGAAATCGATTTGGAGTTGGAGAAGAGTAGATGTTGTGGCTTGGATATCGTTTGTCGAGGCCGACGTGGGGTGTGGTGGTACCTTGGAGATGTGTGTGTGGTAGACCGTGTGGGAGTGTACGGTTTGTGTAGCTGTCTGGCACTGCACATTGATCTGATTTTGTTATGCAAGACGTAGCTAAAACTCTAAAATCATCTTTTTTAGGTTGGCTGGAAGATCTTCAAGGGCTCATTGATCGACAGAGTTCATGTCTTGGTCGTGATGCCGCACCATCCGCACCCGCTTTGTCATGGACTTGTCCGCACTATCCGCAATACGCACCAATATCCGCAAAGCAGCAACTTCTGGTCAGTCACTGAAAGACGGCCGGTTCTATATAAGACGTCAGGTCACTTCACTGTATTCATGAAATCAGTTTCCATATCACCATCAATATCACATCTCCCTCATCTCCGTCCGCAGCTTTCATTCAAAACACCATCAACATCTTCCCTTTCCCTATAAGCCACCACAGCTTCAGCACAAAAACTCACCATTCACTACAACACACTTGCCGTCGTCTTAGACGCAGCCGCCGCCATGTGCGCCAGCATCCGGACCATTGGCATCGTCACCTGCAGCACGCGCTCGACCCGCGTCAACCCCTACATCACGCAATACATCAGCAGCCTCCTCGGCGACGTCATCCGCGACATCCCCGCCCTGCGCGCCGCCACCCTCAGCGTCATCGACCTCGAGGCGCAAAGTTTGCCGCTCCTCGACGAGCCCGGGGTGCCGTCCAAGCTCCCCGCCGCCGACCCGACGCCGCACTACCAGCACGCGCACACGCGGCGCTGGTCCGCCGTCGTCGCGCGCCACGACGCCTTTGTCTTTGTCACGCCCCAGTACAACTGGAGCGTGCCCGCGAGCCTCAAAAACGCCCTCGACTACCTGTACCACGAGTGGGCCGGCAAGCCCGCCGTCGTCGTGGCGTACGGCGGGCGCGGCGGCGGCAAGGCCGCGGCGCACCTGCAGCAGATCCTCGCGGGCCTGCGCATGCGCGTGGCCGCAACGGCCGTGACGCTGCCGGTGAGCGTCGAGGACGGCAATCAGTGTCGGGAAGAGGGCGCGCTGGCCGAGGCGGTTGTCAAGCGCTGGGCAGAGGTGGGCGTGCCAGAGACGCTGCGGCTGGCGGCGGCGGAAATGGTTTCCGAAAAGTAGAGAGAGAAATGCTTCAATCGGACGGCGCAGTGGCGCGTTTTCAGGGGGCGAATTTGGAATGATGCAAGAAAGAAGTCGTGTTGTTTTTTTTTTTTTTTTTTTTTTTTTTTTTACGGAGTATTAAAATTAGAATTCTATCCAGTTAGCGTCTGCGGTTCCCTGTCCCGGTTTGTCATGCCGTGTTGGTTCCCGCTTGGGATGCAACCAATGTATTGGGGCCATTTATACTACTTATTACCAGCGCTGACTATGGTTAGACTGACCTAGATTGGGAAAGAAAAAAAAAAGAAATTACAAAAATCATACAACAATAACGTCCTAGAGCATCAACATATTCCCCCATCTCAAATGACCTGACCGAGAAACCCCCCCCCATCATGCCAAAGAGGACACAGACTAATCGGCCTCAGCCCAACGCTCAACGCCGACGCCGCGTTTACGCCGCGTGCAGCGAATGTCGTCGTCGCAGGCGAAAATGCGACGGCAGCCAGCCCTGCGCCCAGTGCCAGGCCTACGGCTACGCCTGCCTCTACGACGCCGAGAATTTCTCTTCCCCCGCGCAAAGCTCCTCCGACGCTGCTGCTGCTGCTGCGGTGCATCCCAGGCAACCGTTGCCGCTCCAGACTAGGCAACGCGGCGGCGGCGGCGGCGGCCAAGACGCGACCCCGACCGCGCCGCAGCAGCCGCCGCCGCCATCCGCAATCCTCATCAGTCGCGAAAGGGGCCGCTTCATCAGCGCACACAGTGCCGTCGCGCTACCTCTCCTCGTCGGACAGGAGCTCGCCATCACGCAGCCCCCGCTACGACTGCACTCGTACGCGTGGAACCTGGGCATCCGGCCCGAGCGCCGCGGCACACCGTCTCCATCATCACTCGCCGACTACTTTTCACTAGCCGAGTGCCAGACGCTGTGCGCCGTCTATTTTGCCGCCGTGCACCCGCTCTTTGCCTTTTTGCACCCAGAGACGTTTACGCGACGGCTGGCGCGGGGATGGAGTGGTGACGGTGGTGGTGGTGGTGCGGCCGGAGGTGCGGCCGGAGATGCCACCGTCGGCGGCGCTGCCGTCACCACCACGCTCGATACCGGCCAGCCCAACTTTGCCGCCGTCGTCGCGCTCGTTGCGGTGCTGGGCTCCGTGTTCTCGCCGACGCCGCACCCGCGCGAGCAGGACATTAAGCGCCACGCGCTGGCGATTCTCGATCGCGGGCTGTCGACCCCCGTGGCGCCCGTCGACATGGACACGGTCGCGGGCTGGATCCTGCGGGCGCTGTACATGCGGCTTACGACGCGGCCAGCTATTTCGGCCATGGCGACCCATGCCGCGATGCACATGGCCGAGATGATTGGCCTGCATCGAGAAATGCATGACCCAGGGTCGTCATCCGCCACCGCCGCCGCCGCGTCAACGTCAACGTCAACGTCCAAGGTCTCGTCGACGTCGTCATTCAGCGACGAGGAGCTCGAGACGCGGCGCCGGTGCTTCTGCGTCGCGCGGTTTCTGAACCTGCTGCTCACGACCGAGTACGGGCTGTCGGCCGTGTCCCCGCGGCACGCCACCTGCCTGGCGCCGGCGCGCGTGCCCGGCGCACACATTGACGCGCTATACACCATGAGCAGCGTGCTGCACGACGCCGAAGCAGCAGCGGCGGCGGCGGCGGCGGCGGCGGCGGCGGCGGACACGCGCGCGCCGAGTAGCCTCGACTCGGACGAGTTTGCCAACTTGTTCCTGCGCCTGCGGGACATGCCGCGCGACGACGACCCGTCGCGCTCTTTGCCGGCGACGTCTGCCTCTGCCTGCTGCGGCGCTTCTCGGCCGCTTCGCGTCGAGTGGCAAGCCCGCCCGCGCATCGTCGGCGCGTCCGTCGCGGTGCTGCGGCGCGCGCTCGACGCCGCGGCGGCGCTGCTGGCCGCGGGGNGGACGTGGTGGAACATGCTGAGCGTGCCGTTTCAGAGCGTCTGCGTGTGCGTGCTCGTCGACGGCGTGGCCCTGCTCGAGCTGCTGCCGGCGGCCATGGAGCTGCTGCGCGGCATGGCGGATCGCTTCGAGTCGCACATGGCGAGGGAGGCGCTGGCCACGGCGCAGCAGGTCATTGCGGCGTCGCGCGGCCGCACCGACGCCAAGCTTGCCATCAAGGACGCGGCGCTAAGTCATGCGCTGCCGGTGGTCGATATCGACTGGGCGAGTTTTGATACGGGCTTTGATTTGGGCGATGTTTGGCCTCCAGTGATAGACTTTTTCGGGTAGTTTGTCAAATAAGCCCTGCATCTGTTTGTTGGTCAGGCTACGATAGATTTCATGTTACGATACGGTATATGACACTGTTGCTTGTTTTCTCTTTGAAATAGACGCTTCGTGTAAGCGCTGTTTTTTCTCTCCTCCCTTCCTCTCCTTTCCAAGCACCAATATCATCCGCACGGTAACTACAGTACCAGTGGCAGGTGATGATGATGTATTAATAGCATGCGGGTTCAGCTTTCTCAGTAATGGCGTATCGCGTGACCATAAAAAGCAAATAATATGCAATCAGCGCTCAAAAAGTGAGCCATCACGAGTCATACGTACCCATCATCAACATCGTGTACAATGGACAATATCATACTACGACAGGCCAACCCGGTCCGGTGGCGTCTATATCGTCGCCATCTATAAAAAAGCTACACCGCCACCGCCTACCAAGACATTGTCAACCCCATCATGTGAGACTTGTCTATCTAGTACTGCAAAGCCATTGTCTACGCAAAAATCTGTCTTTGACTTACCCCCCCCCCCCCCCAAAATGACGCAATACGACCGAATTGCCACGCAGTATGGCGATGAGATGAGCAAGCAGTTTTACAAGCTCCTCGAATGCAAGCTCGTGGAAAGGGCCCTCGTCCCGGAACTCGCCAAGCGTTGCGCCCCAAAGCTGCTCGAGTTGGCCGCCGGCACCGGCTACTACACGTCGCGCCTTCTCTCCTGGAAGCCCGACGCCACCCTCACGTCCATGGACATTTCCCAAGCCATGCTCGACATCAACGCCGCGCAAAACGCCGCCGCCATCTCCGACGGCCGACTGCGCGTCCTCTCCGCCGACGGGAGCCAGCCGCAGTCGTACGCGCCCGCCGCCGACGACGACGACGAGGACGAGGACGGCCCGTACTTTGACGGCGCGATTGGCGCCTGGATCCTCAACTACGCCGACAGCCGCGCCGTGCTGCGCCGCATGTTTGACAATATCGCGCTCAATATCAAGCCCGGCGGCTTCTTTGTCGGCGTGGTGCCGTACCCGACCGAGGACCTCGTCGTGCGCGGCCGCGCGTGCAAGGAGCAGCCGCTCAGGGACATTTACCCGTTTCTCGAGTTTACGCGTCCGCTCGACGACGGCTCGGGGTGGTGGTTCAGGGTGCACCTCGACGAGGTGCTCATCTTGGAGTGCGTGCACATCCGCAAGTCGGTGTATGAGGAGGTGGCCGAGGAGGCGGGCTTTACCGATATCGAGTGGTTTCCGGCGAATCTGCCCCGTGAGGACTTTGTTCCGCCGGGTATGGTGCCCAAGCATAATCTCTCCCCGGAAGTGTACAAAGCATTTACTGATGTCGGCATCTTTTCCGTCGTCAGATTCTATAAGAAATAGTATGTGGCTTAGTGATGAGGACTGCTATTCTATAAATGAAGGCCGTCTGTCTATGTATGAGAAAATGCAAATACACGGCGATCTGTCTATATATGAAAGAAATGCAAATAACACTAGTTATGAAAGAAGTTCAAATGCTCAAATACGCGGCGGACTCCTCTCATTTCTGAATCGAATTGATCAAGATTTCATACTTGTGCACATACTGAGATGCGACCAGTGAGTTCACCACTGGTGACTGCAAGTTTTTAGCACTTTCTCAGAATCACGAAGCAATACCTCCAGCTGTCTCGTTTTGATGATGCAGACATGTTGTTTGCCACGTCTGACTAAAGTGCTTTTCTCTTCACTGACTCGCAATCAGTGCTTGCGAGGGCTTACACACCACGTCATTCACTCGCAAACACCTTTACCTTCCTGTCCATACTCCCTGTTGCAATGACACAGCGAAAGTGTGCAACTCCGTGGCTATCCTTTGAGCCTGCCACCAAACTGTCCCGGCCGTCTCTCTTTTGTGTAGGCAGATTCCTTACCGTTGGCAGCCATCGTAGACTGGTGATGAATCCGTCGTGCACGCCGCGAAGAATGCCCACGCATTGCCCGTTCTGTGCGATATCCCAGAACCGCAGCGTCTTGTCGTCCGCAGCCGAGAAGATGTACTTGCCGCCCGGGTGGAACACCAGAGCATTCACCCAGCCCCATGACCGGTCAACGTGGCAACGCACCGCCCCTTGCCGTCCCACAGCTTGATCGTCTTGTCGCGTGAGCCAGTGGCGAAGAACTCTGCAGAGCTTGATAGAGGCACAGCTGTTGCCGCTCCTGCAAGAGACGACAAGTGCTGATGGGAGCTGGGAGGCGCAAAAGCACAGGTATTGACTGCATTCTCGTGGCCAATCAGTGTCAGTACAGCCGCCGACCCGTCGTGGGCGTCGATATCCCACAGACGGGCTGTCCTATCCGAGCTTGAAGAAAGAAGGAAGCGGCCATCCTCTGACGGGCACGCAAATCGCACCCAGTCGCCATGCCCTAGCAGTGTTTTGACGCAATACCCAGTAGTGACATCCCACACTCGTATCGTTTGGTCCGCACTAGCGCTCACCAAGAGATTTTTGCTAGACTCGCGGCAAGGCAGAAACCGAACCGAGGTCACTGCATGCTCGTGGCCGTTTAGCGTTCTAATGTTGCTGTAGCCGTCTGTCGGGTCCCAGAGCTTGACGGCCTGGTCGGAACTGCACGACGCGAGAAGAACGGCGCCCTTGGGACCCCCAAAGTCCAAGTCGCGTACGGGCTGCGTGTGCGCCTTGATGGCTCTCTCCAGCTCGCCCAGCTCCCAGTCCCAAATCTTGACTGTGCAGTCGTCTGAGCCCGATGCCAAGGTGGAAAACACGGGGTGAACTGCCACGCAGTTGACGCTGGCGGTGATAGATTTGTGTCTTGAGCATGTCCTTGGTCAAAGTTCACCGGTGATGGAGAGAAATACACGCACAGCTCATCTGCCTGCCCAGCGCTCAAAGACCGACTCATGGTCGAGTATCACAAAAAGATCAGTCACGCGAGAGAAGACTATAAGACCATCTCGATAATTGTCACACACACTGAAAAAAAAAACCACCCTTCGAGATCCGGTCAGCGGGCCACTATCTCGTTGCAGTAGCACTGTTGCCAATCAAGCACATGATTGTCCCGTCGTGAGTCTGTTGGGCTTTGTAGCACCCCTGACGTTGACTAAGCCACCCAGCCCGAATGAAAACTTCAGATTTGTTGGTTACTCACTGCTTTAGCAAACACAAGCGCGCTGATTTGTATTTCTACGATAAACAGGCCGCATGTGGCCAAGTTCACGCTATTACCTCCAGCAAGCAATCCGAAATATCTGCTACGCTGCGCCGCGACAGTTTCCTCTCTCAGGATCAAGACCAGTTGCCCCCGGGCGCTTGAAATGTGGATTATTTCACCTGCAAGATCCGGCTACAATCATTGAATATGCGCTAATCGACGGTTCGGAGCGCTTGGAGAAGTATGTTCCGGGAGGATATCATCTAATGAATATTGGAGATATAGTTCACGGTCGATTCAAAGTTGTAGAAATTCGGCCATGGAGGGGGGTCAACGGTCCGGATTGTTCACGACGCGCAAAGCAAGAGGTACCAGGCACTCAAAGTTGGCATCGCAGACTCTCTACCTCATAAAGTGTCGGTACTTTAAGCTCTCAAAACACCACGTGAAGGTCTAGGGGCCGAAATGATTCCACCTTTGCTGGACACGTCCAAGATCGACGGCCCCAACGGCTCACATTCTTGTTATACCACTGCACTTGCGACCTGCAACCTTATAAAGTGCTCATTCAGCCGCTTGTTCCCTCTTGATGTTGCTCGCGCCTTGGCCTATGAGCTGACTCTTGCCATTGCCTACGTTCATACACGTGGCTTTGTCCACGGGGTTGGTGCTAAATTCGCGCTGCCGTATAGCCCTTGCTCATAGTCATGGTAGATATTCATCTCCGTAATGTGTTGGTGTCTTCGCAAGACAGCCTTGATTATCTGTCAGTTACAGAAGTTCGCAAGCAACACGGCGAACCAAAATCGGACCATATCAGACGCGTAGGTGGATAGCCTCTTACTACCAACGTACCTTCAACAATGACTGTACCTACCTAGGAAAGAAAGCCCAAATCTTCAGTTTTCGCAATACACGACGCCAACATAATGTGAAGCGACTTTGGCGAGTCATTTGCGCCTGGCAGAAACGTCCGTCTAAGCAAAGATTGTCACACACCGGTAGACTTTCGGCCTCCCATACAAGAAATCCTTCAATCCGACTGGATGAAGACTTGGGCACAAAGTGACTACGAACGTGCCCAGATGCCAAGGTCCTAAGCAATTGGTGTGTGTAGACTCATATATGCTTTCCAGACAGCGGATTACCTGCCGTCTCTTGACCTACCTGGGAATATTTGCGGGCTCACTTTTGAAGAGGAAGATGCAAATAAGCGATCGGATTGTTCTTCTCTCAATGTGATTGTATAATTGTCTTCCCAAAAAAGTGCTTAAATTTTCACCACAGGCTCTGAGTTATTGAGTTGTAGATTTCCTTTGGTATGATGTCTAGTCGGCCTTGAACCAGACAAGACTAATCTAAAGGTGAGAATTGATACAAAAATTGGCGTGCGCACTCGAGCAGAATCCGCAGCTGGTAACAACGAGCCTCTGTTCATGGGCAACATCAGCTGTGAAGGTGTGTGTACTTAGTAGTTTACTACAGACCACGCCGCAAAGGCAGGTGCTCAAGATACCAAGCAGGGGCTGGTTATATATCATATATTCATATATTCGACATTTCAACAGCTGCCAGCTTATCTCAAAGATGTTGCTCGAAATAAGTTGATCGTTTTAAGCTTTGTGCATGCAGGTTTTACAAAAAAAAAACTAATGATGGACTTGACGAAAAAAAAAATATCCGGGACCACTGAAGTCCCAGTTCAATCGTGTTGCTATAGGAAAAGCCCGATGCGGGGGTCGAACCCGCAGCCTTGAGATGGTGATCTCTTAGTAAGAGTCTCACGCTCTACCGATTGAGCTAACCAGGCCAATTCTTGCGATTGGGTCCCGGATTTGGTTGACGACCGGCTTCCTTAAAGAAGAATAAGAAGGCTCCAGCACTGGTCACTAAATTTTTCGAGTCGCTCATCACATACAGAGCCAGGTTCTCGGCGAACAATGACACAGCAGAAGAATATGCTACGAGAATTGATACTATAGATGGCACCGTACTATTGCAGAACAATTTTTTTTTTTTGCAACAATGTAAAGGCCAATAATAACCAAAAGAGAAAACTTCGCGAAGGTGATAGTGTAGGAGAATCAGCGCGGTACCGTAGTTTCACTATCGCACAACACAACCACCAACCGATCACAAAAAATCCTGCAATTCAGCCACAGCCTCACCCCTGATAGACGTCGTCCACTACCTCTGCCGCAATCTAGGCTAGAATGACTGTGACTAGAGGCGTGAAACAATGAGTGCTGGTTTATCGGTTAGGTATTGGTCGAGTTTCGGGTAGCGCCGAGTTGGCTGACTGCAATGGAGACGTCGGAGAGCAAGGCTGGCCGTCTGCCATGCCCGACGTATTGCAATCGCATAGAATGCAGGCAATGCACTGAAGTTCTTGTCTTGAATTGTCCGTCTTATTGCCACCAAGACTAAATAAATTTTCGCTCGAAGAATTTACATGAGCTTCTGAGTCAAATGTTCCTCGCCACCCTGCTCACTCGCAAACAGAATCCGGGTGCAAAACATCATTACTCTACGACATCTCAACTTTGAGTGTTACCGCTTTCAATACTTTGACTCAAGTCTTTTTCCCTAATATTGTCATCGAGTTTTTGCTGACAACATGGAGTTGGTGGCCATAAGTGGCTACTTGTCACCACGGAACCCTTCAGACGCACGGAAAAAAAAAACAGCGAACCTATACGAGAATTGATTGTTTTCAACAGGTCCTTGGAACGCGATATCTTAGTTGTTAATCCCCTTTGCCCGGACAAAAGACTCGAGAGAGAATGTTGTAGAGAGTAAAACCGGCAGCTGAGAAATTGTGAACCTCAGCTTACGGTTTGACATAGATAGGCTCAAAGCCTACCTTGTGGCAACAAGTAAATTTTTTAGTTTCCAAGTTGTTCAATGGTAGCGAGAGAGCTAAACTCATTGGGGTATACTTTGACAAAGTGTAAATACATGTCATGTTCATGTCCATGTGATGGATTATGAAAGCAGCTCGATCTTGAGCGTAGGATTCTCCCTTTCCAAAGCCGGCCCGACTACCTCAGAGATGGGCACGGCAGCAGACTTGGCATCTGTCACTGAACTAGTGCCGTGCGCCTCCTTCATATGCGCTGCCAGTCTTTCCGAAGCGCATCGTTCCGAGCAGTATACTGTAGCACGCTTGTCGTCGATGCATTTCTTGCACAGCACAGCTTGCGTCGAATTATCAGTCATCATCGTATCCTCGTCTGTGAGCTGAACACACTGCTCGCCAGCGCTGCAGTCGTGCTGCTTCCCAATGTGCTCTTCCTGAAAGATTGTCAGTTTTAACGGCACATGCCGCATCTGCATGGTATCTCTTACCTGTCCCTTTCGATAGCACTCTTCCGAGCAGTAAACTGTCAGTTTGCTGTTTCCACCCATTTGCAAGATTGCCTGGCAAAGAGAGCATGAAAAGATCTCATCTGTCAAAACTGTCCGCTGACATGCCGCGCACGGAGGTAGGTCGTAGAGCACTGACTTAGCCTGAGCTTCCCGAAGGAGCGCCTTAGACTCCTTCCTCTTCTGCTCAAAGGCCGTCTTTGCTCTGCGTAGCTCGTCTAGACGACTGGCGTGTGTGTCTCTCTGGCTTTGCGAGCTCTTGCTGCGATGATTATCATCGACAATTCGACCGACTATTTGCTCCAACGTCATCCTATCGGACGCTTGGTATTGATCTAGATATGGCTGGGCGTAGTCGAGGACGCGGTCTTGCTTTTCGTCCTTGAAAAACTCGAGAATATATAGCTTCTTGAGCTCTTCGGGTTGGTCCTTGAGCGCTGAGACTTTTTCGGCAAATTTATCGACTCTATCGGACCAATCATCTGGCTTCCCGACACCTTGCCACATCATGGCCACGAGCTCTTCCCGGCTTCGGTCGGGATCGCCAAGCATTCCTCTCATCTCTTCAAGTGGCGCATTGTGTTCGGCAACCTCGAGAAAGTCGGGGTGTCTCCGTAGAACCCAGCGGTACCAAGCCTCTTTCTCAGATTCAATGTGCGCCTCAATGGCCTGCAGACTGCCGTTGTAGTCCTTGGCGTCCGTGAACATATCATCGAGCTCCTGCAAAAAAGCCCGCCGTTGCGAGAACCACTCCCTGTCCTGGCTTTCGCTATATCTTTTCCTCAAGCGATCGAGAACTTTGCGGTAGCATTCCTTGCACTCGGCGACGTGCTTCTTGCCGCAGTCCTTGACGCAGGAGCTCTTGAGCTTGTTTACGTCCGCCACGCAAAGGTGCCGTTGTCTGCGCGCTGCATTCAGCTCAGACCAGTGTTCTGGCAGCACTTGACTAGCCATGATCAATTGGTCTCGCTGGTTTGAGCCGAGCCGGTGATTCTGGTCAAATTTCGAGTGGCGTGACGAGATGAGGTCGCGTTCTGCTGCGAGCGAGAAGTATGATTCGACGTGATGAGAATGGCCAAGCTGATTCGTAAGATGCAAAACGCGAAAGTCAACTGTAAGCCGTTGTACAGAATGCGACCGGCTGGTGACGCACTCAAGACCAAGTGCGACGCGACTAGTTACCGAACATCAACCGGCGATATCTAGCCCCACTATCACCAGCCTTTGTTGTCGGAATAGCTGTGCAAAGAAGGCTTGACAAGTTGCCTACAAATTTACTGCAGCGCATATTTGGGGAGTTTGTGGCTTATCAGCCTTCTCGTATCAAAATAGATACCTTCCCACAAAGCTACCTACCGCCCTATCCTTAAACAGAACCCATCACCATGGTCAGTTTTCACAGCTTGTCACATCCTTCGCCTACTGCTAACATTAAACCAGGCGGACAAACTTCGTACGCAACAAGAACTCGAACGCCTTCAGGCCAAGTTTATCGGTACCGGTCACGCCGACACGACGAGCTGGGAATGGCGCACCAACATTCACCGCGACACCTACTCCTCTATCGCCGGCCACCGCCCGCTCCTGTCCTACATTGCGCTGGCCGAAAACGAGCCGCTTACGAAGACGAGGGCCAAGATGATTCGGGTACGTTCTTGAATATCTATTAGATCTCGCGGTTGGATGCTAATATCCCATAGAAAATGCTACAGCCAGCCGGCCCTCCACCAGTGCGCGAAGACTGAGACCTGGCGAATTTGATGGCTCGCATTACAAACGGCTGATACTATAGGGCAAATGGGCACATTGAGGCGTTTCATATTCTTTTCCGCGGCGTTTGGGAAATATACCATTGATTCAAATATCTAGACGATCGATGACGTTGGCAATCTCAACGTGGTTGAGCAATGCGCTCTGCACCACGACTGTATGACGTTTATTCGTTACAATTATTCAAGAATACTACATGACAGTATCTCCGTCTGCATCTTCAGTCCCGTCAGCTCGCGGTTGTTTGATTCCTAGACTGGACCGCAGCTTCGTCTCCAGATCATCGCTTGGCTCGCCGTATACTTCTCGCACGAATCCCATGACGCCGTCGATGCCAATCTCCTCTTTTGCGCGCGGACCAACGTGCCAAGTCACAGTCACTTCGCCTTCGTGCCCAACCGGCGGCCGGTCCACCTTTCGCACCACGTAGCCCTGCCGTTCCATCCGCTTCAGAGTCAGCTCCGTCCTTTCGCTGCCGAGGTTCTTGTCGGCGTTAAGGCGCTGGAGATAGCGGTTCAGCTTCGGGTGGCTAAGGTCGTTGGCATTGAGCGAAATAAGCGAGACAACCATGGTGTAGAAGGCAAGATATGTGGCTTCGGCGTCGAGGGACGGGACCCTGGACGGCGGTATGATGGCGGCGGCGCGGTACGCGGCGGGCAGGACCGAGGTAAGGATGTAGGCGCCAGAGCCAGTCTTTGGCTGCGAATTTGACTTCATGGCATGACGCTTCTCTTGCAGCGACATTTTTTCGCGGACAGGCAGCTCTCTTAGCTCCATTCCCCAGATGGTTCGTAACTGCTTTTGCGCCAAGGCGAATACTCTCTTGAAAGCTCTGCCCTGGTTTCCAAGCACTTTTGTAAATTGTTAGACATGTTCGATATTGATTGTTCAGTAATCTTCATTTCTGACCTCGTTCCTTAATCCCATCACGTCGGATTGGTGTTCGTGAATATTCGCAAGATAGGGCGTAGCGGATCATCTTCTTTGCCAGCTGCTCATCTGCGGCGCGGTTCGGGTCTTCGTTTTCACTCGCTTCGTCTCCAGTTTCGGGATCTTCTGCGGGTCCGTTGCCATTCTCTTGCTCGAATTGGGTGCTATCGCCTTCTAATTCCTCGTCCTCAGCCTGACCTTTGTTAGCCGTGGCTGTCGCATAGAGCAGCGCGATTAGGTCATACCGGTCGGGCTCGACGCCTGGAAGGAGGCATTATGTAGATATTTTGTGTGTTAAGAATTTCGAGCTCTGCGGCAATTACCTCGTGGCTGTCAAACTGACGCAGTTTGAATATGCCTGGCTGAGTTGGCGCAGAGAGGCTCTTCGGAGGGGCGTTAAAGTGCAGCGCGTACTGTCGCGTCTTCACAAACGGGGCGCACGTAATCCATTCAGCTGGCAGGGCGGCGCAACTTGTCAGCACAGCCTTCCAAAATTGAGTACGATAAGTAGGCTAAATATTGCAATGCTAGACAAAGCAAAAAGACTTTGCCAAATTCGGTTCTAAGCTTAAGGGGCTGTATTAGAGAGTCATGAAATCGACTCTGTCCACTACCACTACGGCTATGGGCCAAGAAAATGCTTATCGTTATCGGCGACAAATTTGGAGCCTTCCTCTAGACATGTACTTGAGCCTGCAAGTTCTATCCCCGACGACCGCAGCTTTCTAAATGTACTCGAGTCGCAGGTAATACTGATTAGATGCTGTCTCGATCGGTCCAGCTGCGGCGCATTGCCGCCGCACGACCGCTGGCGCTGACGCAATGGAAACGTCTTGGTCTCCCCCGTAGGACCTTTGGTGGCACCGCTCTGTTGGCCAGGGGGAGCGACACGTCGCCGGACACGCTGTGTCCGCCCGATAAGATGACGGATATGACTCGAGAGCCTTTATTCAAGCCGTTAAACCATCTGATCAATCAGTCGACGATCGTGACTCAAGACCAGGAGGATGCGCAGGCTCCTATCACAGACGCAAAGCAAGACGAACCGCCAGAGACAGTCGAACCCGGTAGCAGTGAATCGAGCGCCACCGAACACGCCGAAATGCCTGACATTGAGAACTACGAGCCAACAGATGCTGAGCTCGAGGAGATGCTCGCATCAGCGCATTCTGCTATCGGCGACGAGGGCTTGTCGACAGAAGAAGCCGACGCCGCGGACAAGGATACACAACAAAATGAGGCACATGGCGAGTACGATGACTTGGCGTCCGAAGACGATATCCTCTTTGAAACATCCTCCACGAAATCGCCCCCAACCCGCAAACCCTTCAACCACGAACTTCTCACTCACCAACATCTTGGGGTTTCAGCACTCGGTCGCCCCGTTGAAGCTCTTATTCTCAAGGACCCCAATCGAATGCGGCGCTCGCGAAAGCAGATTCCGGTCCTTGAACCCGATGCGACGAAAGAGGTAGCCGAAGTCGACCTGAAATGGACCGACTATGTCGCGAAACCCGACGACGAGCAAGACCCCGTGCTTGAAGCGTGGGACAATATAGACGAAATGCGGCCGACGGAGACAAAAACAATAACAGCCCACGAATATCACAGAATAGTAGCGGCGCTCGTCGACGGCTTCACGCAAGGGCAGCTTTCCAGTTACCTCACCATGAAGCACTCAAAAGAGCTTGAGGCGCAAGCGACCGAAGAGCCGCAAATGTATCCCTGGATTCAAAAGCAGACTCCCTGGAAAGCAGCTTATCAAATCGAACTGGAAAGCAAAAAGCCGAAATGCATTTGCGCGGCCGCCATTGTCGACAAGATCTGGAAGCTCGAGGTTCGAGAGCAAGTCGAATCTCTGGGCCGTGCTTTAATATGGGTTCACCCAATCGTATTTCGACTCCTCACAGGTAAAGTTGGCAATATCCTTTTGCTACAATCGGTAGCTAATAGATACTTTCAGGACACGGAAGACCTGTGCTCGAAGCCATACAGCGTGAGATGCTAAATCCTGGCAACCATGAGAGACTGGCCGCGAAGTCCGAAGAGTCACGGATCGGCATATACGCATCCAAAGCGGCCATTGCTCCGATATTGGAACGCTTGAACAGAGTAGCACAAGCAGTTACTTCTGCTAAAGTCTCCACAGAACATATAAAGAAGGAGAATTTGACACAGCCCATACTCAATAACCTAGCCAGCATCACCACCACTATCATAGAGAAGAGCAGCAATGGAAACGTAAGTACAATAAATGGAGACAGTTCTCTTATTTTGACGTTGAAATTCGATTAGGAATTGACAATCCACTGGATTGCCGAACGCGATAGACCAAAGTCAATCAGCTCGGGGCCAGAAACAAGCGTTGCGCCTGAGCGGCCAGCTGATGTTGTCTGGCGTCTCCTAATGGCTGCTCAAAGCGCGCAAGAGGCCGGTGCGGATCTGTCTTCGAAAATGATGACACGCACAGGACGAGGCAAGAAACCCAAAGGTGCGGTGTACATTGACTACCACCGCGAGGACCGCAGCAAGTCGTGGCGTGACAAGCTCAGATCGTGGACACGTTACACCGACGCCGTCGCCAAGCCGGACGAGAAGAAGAAGAAGAAGCTGCAGCCTCTGAAGCTCGCAACTCGAGTCGAGCTTCCGGAGCTACCGCCATCGTCCATCACAGATGATGCCAGAGTATCAGAGGTGACATTTGCGACCTTGGGCCATGTGCTGCATCTCAAAGAAGCCGTCAAGGCATCAAACAAGAAGAACCTCGACAAGGCCCGCCGCATTCTTTCACCCATCATTCCGCATCCCGCCGCCCTCACCACACTCAACGGCGGCGAAGAGCCCGTAACGCAATCCACCGCCATTATCCTCAACTTCTCTCCGGACCCAATTGTGCCTCAGGACGGCACACTGCCCCGCGTGCGGCTAACCCTCCCCGTCGACGAGACCACCGACCTATCCAACTTCAACATTCCGCCGAGCTCAACCCTGCACGCCGTGACGGCGCAGCGCATCCAGGACCTGCTCCTACCCACGGAGAGCGTTGACGCGCGGCTCACGCAGCAGCGACTGGTGGCCCTCGACGCAGACCAGCCGGCCCTCCAACAATTCCTGGCCGCGTCCGAGTTTAATCTGCTCCAGGGCCGCCTGCGCACGCCCAGCCGCATCAGCCTATCCCTGCCCGGCGCCGCCGTCGAAGCGCCGTACCTTTTTATGGGTCTCGAGGTGCACCAGGCTGTCGAGACGAGGCTTGCCGGGCACACAATCCGCTACGAGAGCATCGAGGCGGGTCAGCACGGCGGCCAGCGGCAGGAGCTGTCACTACACCGTGCGCCGGCCGCAGAGAAGAGCCAGCGAGACGACGGCTTCTTGCAGCTGGTGGAGGATGTGGTGTCCGGGAATGTGTTTTCGTGGAACGACGGCGCGGCACTCATGCAGCAGCGGTCGAGCGAGACGTTCACGATGGACCTGCTCGAGGACAGCCAGCTGGAAGAGGAGACCCTTGTGGAGGGCGAGCAGGAGCCTCTGCTAGAGGGCAAAGAGGAACATCTCCTGAATAAGGAGGTAGACGGGGAGGGGCCACCGCAGCCGCAACAGCACGACACCGCGCTGAAGGACGCAGACACTGTTGTCACAATGCAAGAGCAGGAGACCAATGTACCAGATGACCTGCCGCAGGCCAAAGATCGGGAGATTCATCCATCAGAAAGCCAGCCGTCGACGGAAGAACAAGCGACGACGGACCTGCCCAAGGAGAAGGAGGAGGAGAAGCCTGCCAGTGATGAAGCTTCTTCTTCGCCCAAACCAGCCATCGATGTATCTTCGGAAAGCAAGCTGTAGGAAGAACGAGGGAGTAGCATGTACCACCACCACTATTTTGTATATTATGAGATGTTTGACTAGAATACTGCATGCCACACGAACAATGGCCGGCGCATAGGATAGAAATATTGTTTCGGTGCCAGCTCTCTACTGCATCATCAAACTATGCGAACAGCGTCACGGCTACACCCATGAAGAGATAGAACAACGAAAGGCCAGTAACTCAGCCGCCACCGCAACTATGGGCTTCAAGCTTCGCGCGATTGCTACACATCACCAAGACGAGAAATTGTTTTCAGAATCACTTCTTGACTTTTCTATTTATTTCATTTTTTCGTCACATAACACATTATGAGAAAACCATGACAAAGAAAATCCCGAATCGTAGCCCTCTCACGATTGTGCCTCGGCTATGCAAACCGAGCGCTCATGAATAGCAAAATCTTCATTTCAGAGTCATAGAAGTGCGCTCATGAAACCAGAACCACAGTCCGGGCCGACCAGAAGGAAGCAAGGATTGGTTGCTTATTTCTTGGTGGCCTTGGCAGCGGACTTGGTGACCTTGGAGGAACCAGCAGCAGCCTTCTCAACGGACTTGATGACACCGACAGCGACGGTCTGACGCATGTCACGGACGGCGAAACGGCCCAGAGGGGGGTAGTCGGTGAAAGCCTCAACGCACATGGGCTTGGAGGGAACCATCTTGACGATGGCGGAGTCACCAGACTTGATGAACTTGGGGTTGTTCTCAACCGACTTACCGGTACGGCGGTCGATCTTCTCGAGGAGCTCGGAGAACTTGCAAGCAATGTGGGCAGTGTGGCAGTCAAGAACGGGAGCGTAGCCGGCACCGATCTGGCCAGGGTGGTTGATGACAATGACCTGGGCGTTGAAGGAAGCAGCGCCATTGGGGGGGTCGTTCTTGGAGTCACCAGCGACGTTACCACGACGGATTTCCTTGACGGAAACGTTCTTCACGTTGAAGCCGACGTTGTCACCGGGAACACCCTCAGTAAGCTGCTCGTGGTGCATCTCGACGGACTTGACTTCAGTGGTGACGTTGGCGGGAGCAAAGGTGACGACCATGCCGGGCTTGATGATACCAGTCTCAACACGACCGACGGGCACCGTTCCGATACCACCGATCTTGTAAACATCCTGGAGGGGAAGACGGAGAGGCTTGTCGGTAGGACGCTTGGGGGGCTCAATAGCGTCGATGGCCTCGAGAAGGGTCTTGCCAGTAGACTTGCCAGCCTTGGTCTCCTTCTCCCAACCCTTGTACCAGGGGCAGTTGGAGGAGGGCTCAAGCATGTTGTCGCCGTTGAAACCGGAGATGGGGACGAAAGCAACAGCCTTGGGGTTGTAGCCAACCTTCTTGATGAAGCTGGAAGTCTCCTTGATGATTTCCTGGTAACGGGCCTCGGACCACTTGGTGGTGTCCATCTTGTTGATGGCAACAATGAGCTGCTTGACACCGAGGGTGAAGGCGAGCAGAGCGTGCTCACGGGTCTGGCCATCCTTGGAGATACCAGCCTCGAACTCACCAGTACCGGCGGCGATGATGAGAATAGCGCAATCGGCCTGGGAAGTACCAGTAATCATGTTCTTGATGAAATCACGGTGACCGGGAGCATCAATGACGGTGACGTGGTACTTGGGAGTCTCGAACTTCCAGAGAGCGATATCAATGGTGATACCACGCTCACGCTCGGCCTTGAGCTTGTCAAGAACCCAGGCATACTTGAAGGAACCCTTGCCGAGTTCAGCGGCTTCCTGTAGACGGTAGGTTAGCGATCTGTTGGCTGAGTGCACGCGATATCTCTTCTTCTGCTGCTTCGACCTAATAGATGAGGGGGAAGCTTGCGACAAGGTGGCGGGGTACTCTCACTGGCCCCACTGAATTGATAAGGCACTGAAAATTTTTGCCGCAGCGAGGAGGGGTAGTGAGTGCTGGTGGCCAGCGCGATACGACGAAAAAAAAATTTGCGCAGCAAGCGATCAAGGTCCATTTGACAGTAGAAAAGAGTTGGATACTATGCTTACCTTCTCGAACTTCTCAATGGTACGCTTGTCAATACCACCGCACTGGTAGATCAAGTGACCAGTCTGTATACATGAGTTAGCTCTTTGCTCTCAGGTACCGGCGAGGCGGAAGATTGCTGGTTCGAGAGCTCAAAAGCCACTCGACCGTTGAAAAAAACTTACGGTGGTAGACTTGCCGGAATCGACGTGGCTGTCTGGTAGTCAGTTTTTATTGCTCGTCGAGGTCGAAGGCGTTCAGCGTTAAACGCACCCGATAACGACGACGTTGATGTGAGTCTTGTCGTCCTTGCTACAGAAGTAATTAGTATGTTGCGAGCGTGATATGAAGGCAATGAGAAAGCATACCCCATTTTGAAGGTGTTTGTGATTGAATGCGAGTGATTCTTTTGTTATGTCCTTTCGGAAAATCTGGTAGCGGCGATGATTAGCAAACAACGCAACTTGTCAAAGCATCGAAAGCCACCCTCAAAGCCATCAAAAGCCAAGAGCGCCCGAGCAAGAGAAGACATACGTGAATTCGCAGATCGGATGCTTGAACCGGGTATGCGAGACAAGGAGCAGAAGAGAAGAAAATTTCCAAAGATGGTGGTGGGAGGAGGAGTTTTAAAAGGTCTGGCGGGGGAGGGGTGGAGTGGCACGAGAAAAAAAACCTGGTGCATGAGCTGGCGCGGGGCAACCAGCCAGTGTGGCGGCAGGCCACGGTGGTCCACTAGCCCTAACAAGAACTGAGGTGTGGTTTTTTTTTTGCGCAGAAATAACTAAGCTGAGGCACCAAAAAAATTTCTTCTCTTCAGATTTTCCTCACCCATCGCAGCATTTCCACTTTTATACATTTTTCGTGTAGAGGGCCTCGCCAATCAGTGGGCGGGCTGGCCCAGCAGTGAATGGCACACCCCTCGGAGGTTTGGTCCCATCGCAGGGCATCAAGGCATCAAGAGAGGGGATGTGGCGGCAGTTATGGATAAGCAACGATCCAGCAGTGGATGAGACGGTGATGGATTGAGTCAACCGGTAAATTATTTTGGCGTGTTTTTGTTGTACTCATGGCCTTCGCCTTTGAATGTTGTGTTATGCTACTCAATACTGTCTATCTACCCCTCCATGCCCCTCACTGCCCTTATCCTGGCGTGGCGCAGAGATTTTCACAGGCTGCACAGGCCACCATTACGTAGCATTTAGGTTCCTACAGCGCCGCCGTGCTTCCTCCGTGCGTAACAGCGGCCTAATCGCTGCCTCTTTGGACGGCGTGCAAGCTTCTACACATTTGACATCCAATTAGAAAGGATCAGTTGGGTTGCTATGCGACGAGGTGTCTTTGTATCATTGCTCTCCTAGCCACAGAAAGCGGGCGTCCCGGTGGGTTGTGATACTTGCGCTGTGTTAAGGAGTGCTGCTAGTACCGTAGTACGTTTTGCAGCTCAGCTCTGCTTGGGTGGGGTTGGCCACCTGTCTGGCCACTGGTTAGCTCTGGAAAAAAAAATATTCGCATGCAGCCAGCAGCCACACCAAGGGCCAAGAGATGGCAAGCAGGGAAGAGAGAGAGAAGCAAGATTGAGGTGACTAGTCAATAGGAAAGAATCTAATCGTATTGGGTGCAATCGTAGCAGTTGAGATATTGGGCAGCCGAGTCCGAACGCTAGGTGTGCAACGGGTAATTATCTACAGGCTGCTCGTAAAGAATTGCTTGCGGCAGTAACTAACTACAAAGTGGATGGTACGCAGGTAGTAGGGATGTTGAAGATGGGCTAGACTGCGATACGAAATAAAGTAGTGACTGTTTCGGCCAAAATATGTAGGTGCTAGCAAGATGCAAAGTTTACGCGACAATGTATGAGGCTTTGACTATGACAATATGAGTGAGTACCAGGTCGGGTCCGCAACTACCTTGAAGGTCTCGAGGACTAGAGAGCTAGAGGTGTTTGCTGCCTGAGGCGTCAAACTCAGATCTGGTAGTGAGAAGCAGCACAGAGCTTGGTTCCTATTTTGGCCGAACTGTCGGAGCGTCATCTATGGCGGGCCAACACTGAATGCCGGTTCTACATCAATCACATGGAGAATTGCTAATGAGACGAGTAAAATACAATTGACGGTCTTAAAACCCAACATTCAATATTGTGAATTTTGAGAAAACATCTGCATTGCAATTGACGTATTGACGCCTCCGAATCGGACACTCAAACGTTTTTTCCTTTGCTGCGCCCGCTGCAGCTACGGACAAAAGGTACCTTGTAGCCGGTACAAAATAACGCGGGTATATTGTAATCGTTCCTTTGTCTTGGCTACTCTGATAGCAAATAGCCTTTCTGCGGCCTCCCCAGATTCTCACCGTTCCCAGCCTGCAGCCCCTGTAAAGCGGCCCCAAAACCCCTAGCAACGCCTTCCTCTAGGCCTCTCCCCCGGCCGATCGGCATTCCGCGGCAAAGCACCAAGCCGAGCCTCACCTAACCTTCGGCTCAGCTTCAACACCTTTGACCATCGAGCAACTTTTTTTTCTTCCTCCCGCCCTCTCAAACTCTATCACCTACATTTCTTCACCTCCTCCACATCTCCCCTCTTCTTCTTGCTTTCTTTCCCCCATCTCAATTGATTGACAGCATCATGTCCGCTGTCAACCGTAGCCTGCGTTCCGCCTCCAAGCAGCTGCGTCTCCAGCCTACCCGCGCCCTGTCTTGCGCCGCTGCCATTCGCTCGGCCTCCATCGGCGCTCCTCGCATCGCCGGCTCGCTTCCTGCCTCCCGCAACACCTTTTCCACAGTTGCTGCCAGACTCTCCGGCGCGCCCAACATGACTTCTGGTGCTAGAGAATACGACCCCGAGATCAAGGACATTGCCGACTTTGTCGCCAACAAGCCCATTGAGTCGGAGCTTGCTGTGAGTACTTTTTCGTCAGGCAATTCGCGCTGGGAAATTTGTTTGCTCTCGGAAAGAATCGCACTACCCCACCATCCCCAGCCCATGATCCCCTCACCGCGGGGTATACGGTTCATGAGAAGCTTCAACCCCTGCTCAACGACTTGAGTCTATCCACTAACACTGTGTCAGTTCGACACTGCTCGATGGATTCTCGCCGACACTCTCGGCTGCGGCCTTGAGGGCCTCCGCTTCAAGGAGTGCACCAAGCTCCTCGGTCCCATTGTCCCCGGCACCGTCGTCCCCAACGGCACCAAGGTTCCCGGTACGCCCTTTGTTCTCGACCCCGTCAACGGCGCCTTCAACATTGGTGCCATGATCCGCTGGCTCGACTTCAACGACTGCTGGCTGGCCGCTGAGTGGGGTCACCCCTCGGACAACCTCGGTGCCATCCTCGCCGTCGCCGACTGGGTCAACCGCACCAACAAGGCCGGCGGCAACCTCGCTGGTGGCAAGATCTTTAACGTCAAGGACGTCCTCGAGGCCATGATCAAGGCCCACGAGATCCAGGGCTGCCTCGCTCTCCTCAACTCGTACAACAAGGTCGGCCTTGATCACGTCGTCCTGGTCAAGGTCGCCTCCACCGCCGTCGTCTCCAAGATGCTCGGCCTCAACGAGAAGCAGATTGCCGACGCTGTCACCCAGGCCTGGGTCGACGGCCAGTCTCTCCGCACCTACCGCCACTCCCCCAACACCATGTCCCGCAAGTCCTGGGCTGCCGGTGATGCTTGCCAGCGCGCCGTTAACCTGGCCCTCAAGGTCATGAAGGGCGAGCCTGGTGTTCCCACCGTCCTCTCCGCCCCTGTCTGGGGTTTCTACGATGTTCTGTTCGGGGGTAAGAAGTTTGAGTTCCAGCGCCCCTACGGCAGCTACGTCATGGAGAACGTTCTCTTCAAGGTGTCCTACCCTGGTATGTCTGACACCAGCTCTTTCAAGTTTCTTTGACCATCTACTAACACGTTCTAGCCGAGTTCCACTCCCAGACTGCCGTCGAAGCCTCTGAGAAGATTCACCACCAGCTCAAGGCTCTGGGCAAGTCGGCTGCCGACATCAAGGGCATCACTTGCCGCACCCACGAGGCCTGCATCCGCATCATCGACAAGCAGTTCAAGCCCATGGACAACTTTGCCGACCGCGACCACTGCATCCAGTACATGTGCTCCGTCATGCTCGTCTTTGGCCGCCTCGAGGCCACCGACTACACCGACGGCGGCGAGGCCGCCACCTCTGAGCTCGTCGAGTCCCTCCGCAAGAAGATCAAGTGCGTCGAGGACCCCAAGTACACCCAGGACTACCACAACCCCGAGCTCCGCACCATCTCCAACGCCCTCACCGTCGAGCTCAACGACGGCACCATCTTGGACGAGGTTGCTGTCGAGGCTCCTCTCGGCCACCGTCTCCGCCGTGAGGAGGCCAAGCCCGTCATTCTCGCCAAGTACAAGCGCCACCTGACCCCCCACCTGCCCGAGGCTCGCGTCCAGGAGCTTGTCGAGCTGAGCCAGAACACTAAGAAGCTTGAGTCCATGCCTGTCGACGAGTACGTTGACCTGTACACTGTCGAGAAGAGCAAGTTTCTGTAAGCGTGTAAGCGCGTTTGTTTAGAGCCGGGCCGGGGAAAGGGATATCCAAGTGTATAATCTTTTAAAAAGTATTAAAGTCGGATAAATCTAGAGCGATTTCACCAATTTCATGTTTTGTGTCTCGTGACCCATTCTGTACTACTATTCTCATACGCGCGACTCTTCTACCTGCGCCCGCATCGCATCGAGTATCAGCCGCGCCGTCTCCTCCGGCTCCCGCGCCGTCGTGTCGATTTCCACGCCTAGCCCCGGAAACCGGTAGATTTGCGAATCGTCCATGAAGCTCTCCACCAGCGCCGCGTCGGTGAGCTTGCTGCTGCCCGCCGCGCCGCGCTCCGGCCGCACCACCCGCCGCAGGTTCTCGCCGCGCTCGCACGTCAAGTACACGGGCAAAAACGGGCGTCCCGCACGCGCCGCCGCAGCGTGGTGCGCCCACGCCCACTCTGTGCCTGTTGTGCCCGCGGTGAAGAAGTCTTTTTTTTTTGTATTAGCCCACCACCACGTCGTCAGTTAAATGTCCACATCAACCTATCTCTGGGATGTGTGTTGGGTTGAATGACAAGCGCGCAACGCACCGGTAAAGATGACGACCCGCGCTAGCTGTGCGTCGTCGTCGTCGCGAGGATACACGGCGGAAGAGTAGGCGGCGTCGCGGATGCGCGCTCGCTCGGCGTTATAGGAGGCGTGGGTACGAGGCAGTGAGACCTGGTCGATGAGAGAGTGGTTGTCGATGAGCTGAGCAGAGGGGAGGAGCGCGCAAAGGGCGCGTGCGACGGTGAGCTTGCCGACGCCGGGGAGGCCGTTGATCCAGACGAATTGAGCGGCCATTGTTCCTTTTTCTTCTTATTCTCAAAGAGGATCTATCACTTTTCTATGTGATGGCAAGATATTCTGTAGTCAAATTCTCCTTACATTAGGGTGGCAAGATTCGTGTAACTCGTAAAATTTAAGCGAGACGGTCTGACTCAACGAAGCTGAGTTCGCTTCATCAGTGCCAACAGGAGCACAATTACAATTCGTGTGTGCCTTTCTTTCTACAAAGAATTTCCGACAAATGACGGATGGATTTATTCTGCTTTTGGTTAGTCCCCAACTAGGCGATTGCTGAGCCTGCATTACTTCGGCCTATCTCGTTTTGACCAAAAGTCAGTTCACCACCTCGCACTACAAATGCGAGGACTTGGCACGCAATGGCTGGTTGAAGACTGGCAAAAGAGTCTTGGTAGTCAATATATGTACGAGCCGACCTGAGCCGATTTATACATTGTTTGATCTTTTGCTACATTAAATTCTGCCTAGTCTCGTAAAGCTGCCACGCCGCTGACACCACCCGTGCCATTTTTCGTGCTGATCAGCTTGTTGAACAGCTCTGTATTTATGCGTTTTCACAAAGAGCAATCCTAGTATATGAGTAGAGGGCGGAATTCTTACGGATCGGTCGAACTTATGCTATTATTTTCCAAAACCACCCCATCAAAAACTGTACAACGCCATACTATCAAATCATCATATCTGCAGTACCCGCCGTCACGGCGCGGCATCAGCTCTTGGTCGTCGTCGTCTTTTTCGAAGCCTTGGGCGTCTTCAGCAGACCAAACGCCGCCGCCGCTACCACGGCGGAACCGGTCGCGCCCACCGTGTAGGCGTATTCTCGGCCAGCCCACCAGTAGATGCTGGTGAACAGAATAGGCCCAAGCCCGCGGCCGAGCTGACCCCAGCTGCGTAAATTGCCCAGCTTGCTGCCGCGCTCGTCCTCGTTGGCCTCGAAGCTGCTGAGCGCATTCAGACCCGTCACCACAGTCGCCGAGGTGATGGCCAGGCAGGTCGCCGCGGCGTAGAGGCCGCCAGTCGTGTTGAGGCGTGCGAGCAGGACAAAAGCCGCCAGGCAGGCCGTCGTGCCGAGACGCACAGAGGTCAGCGGCGGCAGACGTCGGGTCACTCCGCCTTGCAGAATGGACGCCACGAGACCAATAAAGCCTAGTAGGCGCCCGTTGCTGCCAGAGGTAAACGAAAAGAGGTCGTAGGTCATGAATGACAGGGAGCTCTCCATACCGGAAAAGAAGAGCAAAAAGACAAAGTGCACAGCGTTGAGGATCACGTGGGAGTTTGTTCTCTCGACAATTTTCTTGGAAGCAGCAGACTTGGTGCCGTTGCCATTCTGCTTTGCGTTGTCGCTGGCAGTAGCCTGCTTGCCAGTAATGGCAGGCAGCGTCTCAGGCAAGCAAAAGTACAGGTAGACTGTTTCCAACACAATGAGCGCCAAGCTGACGCCGGCCGCCGTCGCAAAGGGGTTGGCCTTGACCGATTGAACGTTGCTCAGCCAGGCGCCAAGCGCGGGGCCAAAGGTAAATGCGATCGAGAAGCATGCGCCAATGATGGCCATGGTCGAGCCGCGCGACGCCTCATCCGAAATGTCGCTGGCCATGGCAGTCGCCAGCTGAATGTTGCCCTCCGAGAGGCCCCCAACGACGCGACTCGCGATAAAGGTGCGAAAATCGACCGCGGCGACCCAGAGGAGCACGGAGATGATGTTGCCCGTCATGGAGGCAAGTAGAGCCTTGCGACGGCCGTATCGATCGGAGAGGCGGCCAATGAGTGGCGACGCAAAGGCCTGGAGGAGGCTGGAACAGCAGAGCACCGGTGTTAGAGATATAGCTGTAGCATTTACATGTAGTGGGGACTTTCGGCAGCTCACGAGAATAGAGAGCCCATTGCGCCGCCGAGCAGGACAATGTCGTAGCGGGATTCGATCGGTCGCGCGAACGACGCTTTGTAGCTGTTGAGGCCACTGATGATGCGTTGCAGCAGGGTCGGCGGGCCGCCATTGAGAAGAGCCGGGGCTTCGATGTCGCGGTAGAACTCGAGGAGGCGCGGAAAGAGTGGAAGGATGAATGTAAAGGAGATCTGTCGAGAGGGCGGTTAGCTCATCTTCCATGGGCGCGCTGGCGATGCGTGCGCTCTTCCTGGACAAAGAGCGAGAGCGCAGATTGCACCAAAATCTCAAAATCAAACTGGAATAAACTGTACCAGGTCAAGGAGCAGCGAGAATGCAATCACTCGCAGAACTCGCTTCCTGGTAGCTGGGTCGACTGTGGCTGCCATGGTGAATGATGCCGTACACCGCGATCAGGTCATCCAGATGTGGCCGCCAGGAGGGATCACGCGAGGGCGCAAACAATCCGCAAGCTTTCGAACGGAGAGGCAAGGCACACTCAAGTAGCACTTGAGGTAACGACAATGTAGAAACGGGTACAAAACAAATAAGATCAAGGTTGAGGTTCCAGAGGACAAATTCAAGCCGAGCTGGCGTGATTACCTAAACGGCGCCGGCTACGTAGGAGGTAGGCAGTGACAGGGGGAACCCCGCTGGCGAGTTAGAGCCTCAGATTGTGACGGCGGGTGCGTGCGTGCCGGGTCTTTGTTTCAAGCTACACTTTGGCCACGCTGTCAGCAAAGAAAAAAAGACGGATGGTACGTATTCTGATTACATTCCGAGCGCCTTTCTTAGTACCTAGAGTGCTAGAATAATCGATCACAGCATGCGACAAAAACAAATTGGTGCCCGTCTTGTTTCGCGGCGTCCCCCGGCTGCTTGTCCATCCGATCCACCAACCTGGCTAGTGCCGCTCGGCATCAGCAGATCCGGGGGCTGTTATGCATGTTATTCAGTTGCCATTTGCCTCGAGGAAATACGGACGCGCTGGTTCGTTGCGATCTCAATATAGCGGGCCTGCTGGGACACGTTTACGCTGTTGCTCTTGATACGCCAGGTTTCTCAGTAAACAATGTATTGAATTTCAATCTAACAAGATGTCGTTGTTTGAAAAGTGTTAATATTACTCGTATAGCCTTTTGAATTTTTCCAAGCCTTCCCGAGATACTGATTAATATGCTTCCAAAAGAAATCGCAGGCCCTTGCTTCCCTATAACAAACTCATTAGTTCCAGTTCTAGTAGTCCTCGGCCCCACGGATCAGCTGCATACCTTGTACGGGATTGGGATAAAGTAATCCGACGCCATCTGGCAATCTCTTGACGTCGTCTCAAAAATCTTAAACGCTCCTACGTCGCCCTCGCGCCGGTCGCCCGTCTCGTCCCCACCGACGACGCCCCCGCTGCCCCAGCGGCGGAAGAGCTTGGCCAGCATGAGGTGCAACTCGGCCTGCGCGAGCGCCTGGCCGAGGCAAACGCGCGTACCGCCGCCAAACATAATGAGGTAGCCATCGAGGCGCTCGTCTGCGTCGAGCCAGCGCTCCGGGTGGAAGCCGAGCGGGTCCGGAAAGATGCCTGCGTTCATGATGGTGCGGTACGGGCTCATGCTGACGACGGTGCCCGCGGGTATGTGGTGCGAGCGGCCGGTCGCCGGATCAGCCACGTCAAAGGACTCGTCGGGCGCGATGCGCGACAACCGACTGCTTGTGCCGACGCCGTGCCGCAGCGCCTCCTTGACGACGGCACGCAGGTACGGCAGGCTCTCGAGTCGCGCCAGCGGCACTACCTCGTTCGGGTTGGGGATAGCCGCGAAAAGCTCGTCGCGCAGCTTCTTGAGTGTCGATGGCCGGTTGCACAGGTGGAAAACGGCGAGGGACAGCGTCCACGACGTCGTCAGGGTGCCACCCTGGACGAGGATCTGCCCGTCCTGGGCCAGGCGAGCCGTCTCTTTTTCAATGTCCGGCAGCTCTTCCGAGGAAAGTAGTTCGTGAAAGATGGTCGGGTGGCTGACGTCGAGCTCCCAATTCTTTGTCCCCTGCGTCGCCTTAATTTCATCAATTTGATTGAGAACGTCGTTTTTGAGCTTCAGCCATCCTCCCCAACCTGCTACAGTCAGTCCACTGCGTGGCGTCAGTATAGATGGCAAACATACCAGGCACCCAGCGCCCCGAAACGGATTCCGGTAGTGAATTAACGAGCGTCAGGGCCCAATTCATGTGCTTAATGATAGGACCCATGTGTGTGCCCTTGAGGAGACTGTCTGTTGTATAAGCGCCAAAGTCGGGTCTCTCGACTATGGCTCGTTAGTGTTGATATATCAAACGTCGACCGGTGTGCGTACTGAGGTGGTCGCTCCGCGCAAAAGCGTATTCATTGATGACGTCTGGGGGAAATTGTCAGTTAAGTATTACTAGATCGAATTGTGCTGTGCTTTGCTGTTTGCATACCATTGGTGTACGCAGAGAATGGGTACATAACGTCAATCGGCTCGGTCGGACGGGTCCTTCCTTCGTCACGCAAACGACCGAGGAGCTGATCAACTCGTTCTTCGATGATAGGCTGCAAATCGCGAACGCTCTTGTATGAGAAGAATTGATTCAAAGGGGCACGCCGAATGCGATGGTGATCGTGGTCAAGAGTCGCCAGGCCGCTGTCTAGGACAAACTTAGAAAACACCGACGAAGATGGCATCACACATACGAGGAGCTCCGAACTACACCAGGTCAGCATCGGCACCGGAGATACTCTTCTTAGAACTTTCTTACCTGCTTTGCCCAGAAATGCCACTTGTGGCGACGACGATGTGGCCCAGTATAGAGTTCAGCGTGAAAGTCATGGTCACTAACATGGACTTCCCAAGGACTGATTCTCACAACCGGGCCGTACTCCTCGTGCATCTCAACAATGCGAAAGGTATACTGGCCACCAAGAACAATGTCATAGAAGAATTCGTAATACTGCGTCAGCGCAGCAAGCTTGGGCCCGGGCAGGTGGGCGATTGGACTGTACCACAACCTGTAGACGCCCAGGCAAACGGCATAGACAAGCCAGCATGCAAAGGAGGTGTATAGAGCGAGTTGCCAGGAGAAGCCAGCAGCAATGTCTGAGATTGCCATGATGGCAGAATTTTACAATGTTGGTTGTGCACTCCTTGGGCGGCGACGCGTTTGGAGGCTGTGAAGGGGAGAAAAAGGGAAAACGCCGCCGCCCTTATATAAAGGCAGTATTAACATGACCTGTGCCCTACATGCAAACAGACACTGCCGTGGCTGATGCAAAAAAAAATGCAGATGGCAGAGGCAGTTGGAAGGCGAGGCTCATTTGGCTCGTCGCTCCGGCTGATGCGAGCTGCGTCTGATCCTTGTCCTTAACACGCCACATCCGCATCCATCCAACCATCATCACCACCGTCGTCAAGTTGTCTCTGTCCCATCCTTGTCCCGTCTGCGACTTAATTAGCCATTGGACCTATCGGATCGATGCAATTACCTGCAGGTTGTCAGCCTGAATGTGGGCATTTCTCCCGTGGGCCACTGGAGCCGGGGCTGGGCAACGCCTCAAATCCCTCGCCCTCAAGCCCTCTGCGGGCGCACTATCCGACTTTGTAGCAGGATTTATTTGATTCTGTCGGATCTCGCCTGCCCGTATCCTCTCAACCCCACGTCTTGGCTACGCTTTGATGCTAATTAATACTCGTCAGATCCCCCCTTTGCATTTCAGCTGATGCGCGGCATCGTTGCCGTCGGCCCCTTCAAGCCGGCTAGTCGAGGCACACGACACGCGGTTGCGCTCTAGCTTTACAGAAAACAAATAGATGACCCTCATTCTTTGATATATGGTCTGAACTATCGTCAAGCTGGTCCCCAAGCCCGTTCAGTGGCAAATCGACCCACGCTTATCACACTGCAGTAGGTTTGTGCGACGACCATCTTTGGCTGGCACACTGTTTTGACCATCTATTGTGTGGCGCTGTTCTAGAGGCAACCCGCCTGCTTCAGTCAATTGACTGGTCCTTTTCTTCCGCCGCGTCTGGGACATGTCTCGTTTCTTGCCTCCAGCAGGTCTTGTTTGTCAGTACGGAGTAGCAGATGGGCAGATCATCGGAGGACAATCTCACCTTCGTGGAACAGACGTTGATGAAAAGCAGGTCGCATTTTTGGCGGCTATCTCGCCCAGTATTGCATCGAGGGTTTCCATTGTGACGGATACATGCGAAAACCCAGCTTCTTTGCCACGCATCACTACCGAGCAAATTATTGCACCGAATCGAAAAACGGTCGTGTGATGACAACCAGACACAAGAGCGGCGCGGAAGCATGATTTTTATTATGAGCACAGAGACACCCATAATCATCAGCGCAAAGATCTCGGAAGCAGGAAGGGTAGGTATTCTACGACCATGGCGAATTTGGCAATGCTGCCTAGAATTTCACGCAGCTCTTCCTCCCTCGAGAGTGTACAGATACGCCAGCATTGGCCCGCATTCAACCAACGTCTAGAAGAATCAAATTGGATGCCGTACGTCTCTAGTATGTCAATCGCCGTCACCGCGCGCTCTCGGCTCCAGCGATGGCAATGGCCCTCGAGTCATCGATGACAAGCTTAAAGTGAGCTTGAGTCTGGCAGCCCGCGAGTGTATGTATTCCTTGCAGGCTTTTTTAGCCGGCAATAGTCCTGCCTGCCATATTGCACGTAGGCAGACAATGGTACTTTGCGGGTGAGGTTGCAGCCGAAAGATATTCCCGCCGGTATCGGCTCAATGCCGGCGTCGCACGGCCCGAAACTGGCAATCTTTAGGGCAAAATTTTTTTTTGTTCATATTTGCCGGGCTGTGCCACTTACCTAGCTATACAGCCTTCGATATCTTGACCCGAGATGATGGCTTCACGAATGGCCAGATGACGACCAGTTGCCAGGCTTGTACGCCAAATCTTAGGATTCTGCCTGCTCCTCGAAGCTCATTTCTCCACGATGGATCATTTCGGCATATCTCTGTGATAAATCATTTGGGTTGACTTTTATGTCTCAGGCTAACAGACGGGACGGGATGCAACTGAGCGAGCAGGTGGGATATTTCGGTCAAGGAACCGCGGTTTCCTCTGCCGGCAGTGCGCAGACGGCTGCAATTTCAGCTGTTGGTCATGTAAGTCATCACATCCGGCATTTCGGCAAGCTGAGACTGCTTTAATTTGACGAACCTTTGGCTTGTAATGCCGCAACCTACAATGGACGGTTCTTTTCATCACTACTATAATATCACCACGAACCAGCTCAACGGCGGCTTCCTGCGGAACTTGGAACGTATGCACCGAATCTCAAGAATCAATACATCATTTTCACTACACAGCGTAGCAAATTCATTTCATGCCTGTATGCCAAGATTCTACTCACCGGTCAGCTGCAGCATGCGAGATACAGCATCGTCGCATACGGAGTACAAGCTGGTGAGATGCCGGCGCATCAACCCCGCCTTGCCTGCAGCTGCGTCTCAAATTGCCTCATCGAACCCCTCCTGCACGTGTAACGCTGCACAAGAGCGGCCACGTCAGATCGGCTCCATGCGCGGGTGCTACACAGGGCGGGGGAGCGGCCGGTTCGTGGTGCGTCAGCCCGCATGCCGCGTCGCACGAGCAAGAGAAGCGCCCGCGGCAAATATGGGTGTCGTACGTTCAATTTCGAGCTTTGCAGCATCTACACAGGAAAGCATTCCCATCGGGGCTGCAAAAGTCCACATGGTGCTCTGGTCCCGGCGTTGTTTCTTTTAAGACGCCGCTCTGCTTGCCATGGCGTTTTTTTCGTATTCCAAGCTGGCCACTACACAGATACATGATACAAGTCACCTGTCAAAGCTTCGGGCTATCAGCCTGCCATCGTGTTTCAAAGTTGATCCATAGTCCGTTGCCATTGGTCAGAGGGATGTGAGCCATGTCAATGGGATGGATGGGCTGGACCCTGAGGCCAGGAACGCTTATGGCTCGCGCATGCCAGCCCGCCGCCTCGGTCTGGGCGCGGCGACGCCTGCGACTAGCATTGCACATTGGCATGCCACTCGGAGACTTGATATTGACAGGATCACTAGCAGCAACAGGTCAGGCTGAGGCCCATGCATGGACATGGCGTGGGTCACGCAGTAAGACAAGATGTCAAATCACTTCAAAATTCAAGTCTATTATAACATGGTGGATTCCCTGTTTGCTATGCGCAGGGCTGCAGCGCCGATCAAACTTGGCATGCTCAGCAAACAACTCGGCCAGAATCGGCTCCTGTGAGTCTTTGGCATGGCATGTCCAGAGCTCTTCCCCGCACAGCCCACGCCTGATTGCCCACTTGCTGCGGGAGCGTCCGCTAGCTGCATGACGGTTGCATGAAGCTTGAGCGTTGGGTTGCCTATTCTGTCTTTCCGCCTCGCCATGTGAACAAGACCGAGTCGCTCACGCTCTGTTCTACTTTTCTTTTCCGACCGTTTGGGCGCCAACAGGCATTCTGCGGACCGCGCCCAAAAAAACAAAACAAAGAACCCCCTCTCCCCCTCCTTTTTTTGTTCCGCGAATTTCGCCCTGCTCCTCCCCGAGGCACCTCGTTGAGAATCAAGGTCCCCGGCATGATTGGCTCCTCACATGAAACCGTTTTCTTTTCGCCCAGTCTGGTCCACCTTTTTTCGAGTACCATTCCGCGAGGAGATGGATTTGGTAAAAAAACAAGTGGCGGTGACGCCGTCTATATGGTATTCTTCATGGTTTGCAAAAGAAAAAATATTTTGTGGTCGCCCATGAATTTCGTCGCAATCTATATCCCTGGCCGAAAGAAAGACAAAAAGGAAAAGATGGTTGCTCCCAAAGGGTACTGGTGACCTGCCCAGCGGCATGGGAGTGGCGCAAAAAAAGGGTCTCGACGATATATCGCGCAGTCCGCAAGAGTATTATCCGTATTGAAAAAGCAAAAATAAAACAAAACGCCGCTGTCTATCGTTGTGTCGACAAGTAGGAAATTGGATGGTTGGCTGGTACAAGTATCTGCATTTTGGTTAGCCAAGAGTCGGTGATGCCAAGCACCGTGTACCGAAGTGTTGTGACGCAGCGTACTAAGTTATGTAGTAGTAGTAATGTAACAGAATTGATGATTATGGCGCCTGGTGCGCGCCCTTGTTCGGCGCCTTATTTGCTCGGCTTGGCGGGTTGAGGGTTGCTGGGCTTGTTGATGCCGGTCGTGTCATAAGGTCCGCGCGCCATTGCTCAAGAGTTTCGTGCGAGATGTTGCGGAAAGAGGGGGAAAGGTCTCGTTCGTACGGACGTCTTGTGTAGCTCTTTTTTTTTTTGTCGTTTTTGGTTTCGAGCCGTTGTGGTCGAGTACGGTTATTTGGGTTGGCGGCGGCAGTCAGATTGATGTAGTGAGGCGCGCGTGTATGTGTGTAAGGTGTGTAGTGTTTGCGATGGAGGGCGATGAGCTGAGGCAAGCAAACAGTCAGAATGCGCGCGCGCGCAACTGGGAGTTTCAGAATGTAGAGGGAGAAATGGATGAAGGTGTCGTCGTTGCGAGCCTGCCAGTGAGGAGTGGAATGAATGGGTAGAGAGTGGTGAAACAACAAGACCAGAAGAAGAGGGATAGGAGGATATTTAAATCCGTAGACAGAAGAGGGTTTAGAAAGGGAAAAAAAAAAAGGACAGACGACCAGCAACAAAGCAACAAGTAGACACCCCCCCTTCCCCTTCTCACCCCCTCTTTGGCTGTCGGCTCGCGTGGCTGTCGGGCCTCTTGCTTCCAGCATTGCTCAGACCACCTATACTTACAGGTACCAGGAATCATTCATCAAAGGGGAGACGGGTTACCGATGTTGCGGTCAAACAATGCGGCGGTGAATTTCCGAGTTCTTGTTGCGCACTCAAACACGAATATAAAGATAAAAAATAAAATAAAAAATAAAAGAAGAAAAAAGGCCCCCCCTTGGGAAAGAGAATGGGCCATGGAAAAAGTTGAAGGTTGCTGAGACTTTTCGTTTTTTGTGTTTTGGTTTTTGAGGGTACTGTATTACTTTTTGTTTTTTTAATTGTCTTGACTAAATAAGTAGCTACCTCTTTGTACTACGGGTTCACTCATTCTACCACTAAATTGCTTTACT